AATTGGGTTTCTTGCAAAGTTATTAATTTTAATTAACCCTTTAACTCCTGCGTACTAAGCCCTCTCTCTGTGTTTTACTTTGCACTCGGAGGGTGGATAATTAATGCAGTTTGCAGCGAGTTTGCTGTTATTACGTCGTCGTCGCTTGTGCGGCCACCGGAACGAGAGACGTTAAATCGAATTGATTCGCGTGATTCTGGACAAAAAGTGTGTGTGCGCATCCATTAACCTAGTTGTTGAACAGCGATGGGAATTAAGGACAAACGTATGCCATATTAGGATCTTAATCTCAAATTGCTCTCATGACATTAGCAATGACGCTTTGTATAATTATTTTGCATCAAGAAGCAAGAATTGCGACTGCGAATATTGGCAAAGATCCTAAAATTTCCAAAGCAGAATGGAAAATTATAAAGAGTTTTGTTCATTTCAATTTGTAATATACATATAATTCAGATTATCTGAGGAATATAATTTTTTTTTATCATAATCAAAATTCCAAATTGTCATCGATCCTTAGCAACCGATGAAAATATATTATTTTTTCACAAGAGCACTTTGGTTTGTGCTGCCCAACCTCTCTAATTTAATTATTTCTATAAAAAGTAATTAAAATAGCGAAAAAAAATCTGACAGAATCGTTTGATATTTTATTATCAATTTTGTTACAAAAATGTTCAGTTTAATTTAAATAAGCAAGGATTTGTGATTAAATTTCTAATTTACAGGACTTTTTTGAAATGTGACTGTTAAACTGATTGCACTTCCTCAATTTTTTTATAACACTTTTTACTTCAATATTTTTGGCAAAAATTGTGATGTATAGAATTCAATTTTGTATTAAAGCCCACAAAAAATTATTAAATTACTCGGCAGCAGCCAAGTTCCCAACAACTAACAATTTTGCAGACGCAAGTTGAATTTTTGTTCCATTTTGCCGCAGAAAAAAACAGCCAAAGTTATTTTCGTGGAACTTTCCGGTCTGGAGCGCGTGCAAAATTTTTGCGTCTGCGAAAAACACATGCTATGGTTGTCAGGGACCACAAAGGGAGGCCGACTGGGGCGAGGTACAAGCGGAGTTTGCGCCTAATGCCGGCTAATTTCCATTTTGAGAATGTTGACAAGGACGGTTGCCGCGCGGGCGAAAAAGCTGCGTAAGCCCTAAATTACGCGCGTCCATCTGAGGCCCGAATTACGCAACACCGGGCGCGCCGCACCAGCTTAAAACGCAAAGCCGTGCCGCGCATATTAATAATAATGTTATGATTTGTAGCTTGCGGTGAGTCTGCAAACAGCCCTGCCTGCCCGGGCCGCTCTTTGAACGCGCGAGAAGGAAAAACGGTGCCGAGATGGAGTCGGTCGGTCCCCGAAGGACCTCGCAGAGCTGCGGTTGTTTTCCCCGAGTCGGACGCGATATTCATTACGCAAACCGCAGCTGCACAAACAGCGAGAAAGGTGCTGGGTGCTTGAACCCGTCAGTCCGTCCGTCTCTTATTATTCTGCTCATTTCACACAGCAGCCGGTGAGAATGACAACCACCCGACTAGGCACGCACTGAGAAATTTGATCAGTCACTTTTCAGCTCATCCAGCAAAGAAATAAATAAATATTTTATGTATGAAAAAATTCATTATGATGTATTTATAAAATTTTTGCAATAAATATAATTACATAGCAAGACTGAATATTAAAAAGAATAAATTTTTAAGAATTTTAAAAAAAAACTTCAGTTGTTTTCTCATCAATTTATTTTAAATTTGACTTTATTTATTCTTAGTTGAAATCAAGAATACAGTTTTTAATAGGTTTTTACATGGCTTTACAGAAATTGTGCGACAAAAATTTTGACATACAATTATGAAATTAAGTTTTAAAAATAGCTAAAAACTTAATATTTTTTTTTTTTGTCTGAAAAATATTAATTTTGAACCATTTTTTAATAATTAATTTCTCAATTAAATGTCAAAATTTTGGTTTGTATCTTCCATTCATTAAAGCCAAGTTTTTCTCGCACAGTTTCAGTAAAACCACAAAAAAGCTCTTAAAAATTAAACCCTGAAACTGCTGTTACAATTTAAAACACAAAGACATATCTGAGAAAGAATAAAGTGTCTAAAAAGTTTGGTTTCATCAAATATTTCAATCTGCAAGTTAATTTTTTTTTAAATGTTCAATAGTTACAGTAAATTTTAAAGGATATAAGTATATAAATATTAAAAATATAATGGGATTATTATATATGTTAAATTTCATTAATAATGGGGGAAAAAATAGGTAAAGATCTACATATTTGTCTGTTCCATTTAAATTAGTCAATCAGCTTCATTTCCAACGTTCTGGAAAATTCCACTCTCGGGCAATGAACCCATGAACAGCATCCTGAATGGAATTTTAACATTCATTTTTTTTTTAAATTTATTTTTATTTTAATTTTTTAATAGTTTAATGATCTTGATATTATTAATTAAAAAATAAAAAACAGCAATGAAGATTATAAATTCTATGGGAACTTTTCTTTAATTGCCAAGACTGTGCATATTTTTGTCGATTCTTCTTTCTCATGGCAAATTTTTGCGCTATAGATTATATTTTAATTTAACTTTTAAAATTTAGTTCGCGACTATTGAAAAAAACTCATTAACATAAATTGTTGTTATTTCAGAAAAATCACTTTTCATTCTCTATTGGCATAATTGTGAGTTGAAATTATACAAATAATTTTTACACTAGCTGCTTTTAAGTAGAAAAAAATGTTTTATAAAACAAGGAGGTTTTTTCCTCGTATACCTCACCCCACAGAAGTAGATTTTTTTGTGTGCTTATGAAAAGGAATTGTCAAGGGTCGCTTTCACCTCGCACAACAAGAGGGTGGCAAAATGAGACCGAGGCAGGGTTTTCATTCTCCATCCCTGGCTGGTGCTGGGAGGAAAAATATTGCACGGCGGACGCGGGGCGAGAGGCTCGGCTGCTCGTTAGTTAAATGAGGATTTACTCCTGCGCCCTCTCTTGCTCTTTGGTCTCGCGCGCTGTGTATGATTAAAGTTTTGTTCACTGTGCAGTAATTGTGTCAAGAGTAATGCGCGCACTGGCGAAAAACACGAGAATTTTCCAACTTTGTGTATTGTGAAAAAGAAGACGAAAAAGGCTTTTGTCCTGGAAGCGTGACACGGATGTGATTCGAGCTGGAAAATGATTCCAGTTTCCAGCAAAGGGAAAAGGAGTGACGCCTGTCGACTCTCTTCAAAGAAGAGCAGAGAAACGAGAAGCAAAAAGGAAGTTTTTACATTGAAATTAAAAAAAAAACGCATTCCCTGAATTTAAAGTAATTAATAACACATGAAAAATAATTCATTTTTAAATAATTAACAGCAAAATAAATTAAAATTTCTTTTCAATTTCACTAAAATTGCAAAAAAGACTTTTATGTTAGTTTTTTTAGTTGAGTATTAAATTCTTTACTTGAATATTTTATAAATTAATTTATATGAAAATAAAAATTATAAATTTGCACAGCAGGTTGCATAACTATAGCTTTTGGGGAAAGTCGAGTTGAAAAATTAATTATGGAATAATGAGACGACGCGAGCAAGTAATCAGTAATTCACGAGGTGTACAAGGGCGTTAATGAGTCGATGCGCCCAACACAAGGGGTGCAATTTAAATCACGCAAGCGGCGTCGCTCACTTGAGATGAGCTAATCCGGCTTCTTTCGCGCTGCAATGGAGGCGCAAATGAAGTCACTTTATCTGCACACAGAGCTCTTCTCTTTTTCCTCCTCATTCTTTTCATTCTTTTGACTCCTCGTGCAGTCGTCGTAACCATGGAGATTGATGTCATCCTCTTATGTATGGATGAAAATTCAATAATACCTGCCTCGGAGCTCATCACCATCTCGACGGCAGCAGTTACTTTTTCGCGCGCCTGCCTTTTGCCCTTCTTTTTCTTTTCCCATCTCCAAAAAGATTCGGCCTGACAAAAAGGCAAACCTTGGTAATATTCGTAATATTTGAACCGGAAATAATTTTTATTGAAAATTTCCCGTTCACTCGTTAATCTGGCTTCAAATTCAATTTTTTTTTACTGTTTAATGCTTTCCGTGATGATTAGAGCTCAAGAGCACTTCATCTAAATCTCTTTTTGAGCTTGCAAATAGGAATAATGGAAATTTCCTGAGTGCAAATATATTGAAAGAGTTTCAATTTAGCTTGTTCTATTTTTACTGATAGCAATTAAATTTAGACCGGGTATCAGAATTTACAATTTTTTTTACCGCACATAATTTCCTTCAAATTTGTGCAATTTTAAATTGGAAGATGAAGAATCCTCAGAATATTTTCTGCTGTAGAAAGAAAATAACAATTTTTTCCTCAAATAATATTTGCTTCAATAATTTTAGTTGAATAATATTTTCTTACTTTTTCTACAAATTGTAAAGAGTAAAATTAATAGCAGAATATATTACATTTTTCAAGAATAATTAATTCTGCGCGCTAGACTCCTTATTAAAAATTCATATATTTATTTTCTTTGCGATAAACCTTTTTATTTTTTTCAAAATCTGCAAATTGTTTAATCTTTAGGATATTTTAAAATCTTAAACAAAGATATTAAATGTTTAGAGCTAAAAATTCAATTTTCCACCAAATAATAATAATTTGCGGCGCCCACTTGTTAATTCGCTTCGAAACATCATTTGACGACACCCACACCACCCAGCGCACCTGTCACTTTGCAAATGAATTCGGCGCTTTTGCCGCTCGTCGGTGCCACCCTGGCCGCGGCCCAACCCTGACAAGGCGCCCACAAGTCGCGTCCGCGTCGAACCGCCGCGGAAAAGCGTGACACCCGTTTGGAAAAACAGTCTCGGAATCGATGGTACCGTAGTGGCTGTGCCGCGAGAAGCGCATGAAGTGCGGCCCCTATCGATCTCTCTCCTTCGGGGCGGCACACGAATTACATGAGATGCGGAAAAAGCAGGTGGAGGATTAATTGCGACTTACCTGAGCCCAGGGCCCGCAGACGGCCAACGCGACGCAGCAGAGCACTATCGCCTGATCGCTCAGTCCAAACATTTTGAACCTTTGCAGGGTCACTCGATCCTTATAGAGTCCCGAATTTCCAGTCACTGCAGTGTTGTGTTCTTCGACTCCAATGCAGACAAGTGAACTGAGCCTCGGCGCAGATGATCGGCAGAGAAGCAGCACAAAGTGCGCGGCCCCGCCGCCGCGGGGCCGCCGGCGCTCGCGCACAGCATGGGCATTGCCCAGAGATCACCTTCGCTGCTCCTGACTGGATGCGCAAGCGACCTCCCTGGTCAGGAGAGCGATTTATTGCACTTTACTAATGCATTATAATGAAAGTATAAATATGTTTATAAATTTTAATATTTGTAAATTTAATGAGCAACAACCATATAATAATAAAATTATTCAATTTCTTCTTTTTATTTAATAAAATCAAAATTATGAATCAATTTTTCTTCAAAAAACTTTTCCAAGAAAATGCAATACTTTTTTATTAAATGAAAGCGATTTCAAAGTAAAGCAGGCGTTGTAAAATCATAATCTTGTTGATAAAAGCAACTTTATTAAAAAATAAATAAAATAAACATCATAATCTTTATCACTTTTGATAAGGCTACACTACAAGGAATTAAAAATAATGTTTTTCTTTCCAGAAAATAAAAGCTTTATTTATCTGCACATATTAACAACCATAATAAAGAAATAAATTATGTGCTAGTTGTGAGACCAAAACAGATATTGCGGAGTAACATAAATAATGATTATACAAAGAATAAAGCATTGAAACTGACTCAAAAAAATAAATTAGCATTAAATTAATACTAAAATATCAACTCTCAGTAGTGTTAACAACCAAAACAGATGACTTCCTCAAAAGCAAACACAATAATTGATTAGAATAAAAGGTCTCAAAACTTGCAATTTTGATATTTTAAAGCAAATTGGTTTGTGCTACAGGAACAAGATGGGAATGCAGCTAAAAATGCTCAGGAAATTTAGGAATTGACATTGTCGTCGGGAACGAAAGTGTGCAGCACTTGTGTTAGGGCCACGAGAGATGTTTGAAGGCCGGCTGGCAAGTGTCGCTGCAGCCAAGCGCCTCGGTACTGTTCAATTAAAGCCAACAGCTTGTTGGCAATGTCGGTGCGGAACGTTGGTGGCAAATTGGTGACTCCAAGGTTTATCACAGAGAGACCCATATTGCTATTAGGGTTCATGCCCACACTGAGCAAGGCACGGCCGATTCTGAAAAATATATTTATCACTAAACTTGCCAATTTTTTCCTCGTCAAAAGATTTTACCTGCAAGCAGTGACCATTAGGTCTGCAGTGAGTTGCAGTTCTTGCAAAATCATTTCAGAAAAAGGGCATTGCAATCGAGCTCGCAGCAAACTGATCTGGCAGCGTTTTATGTGCTTCATCACTCTCTATAAAAATAAATATTTGTGTTTGCAAGAATTCAAAATTATAAAATCCGCCTCTACTCACAGCTAGAGTTTCTGGAGTAATAAATTCCAAACTGACATTGTCTGGCTCTGTGAGTAGACAATGCAGGACCGATCCATTTGGGGCTGGAAGCTCGGACTGGTCTGCAGTCGACTGACCTCTCGACGCTCTAAGAGCCAAGGTGTCGGCATGACCCAGTTCCAAAATCACTTGCCCAATGTGACCTTCAGTGTCCAAAAATATGTGAGCATCAAGCAAAGGCGCAAGAGATGAATGTACAAATTCCTAAAACATATCATTTAATAAAATTAAAAAAAATTCTTTACTTATAAGACAGCAGATCAACTCACTTGCAAGTTAATAGAATTTTCTGCCGAAATTAACTAAAAGGGTTTTCAGTTTACATTCACCCTTTTCATTTACACATTACATACCCAGTGAGTGCTGGTATTCCAAGAAAGACCTGCAGCGACTACGAAGCCAGGCCATGAAAATGGATGCGGAGTCAAATGATGAGGCCCTGACCAATTTGCTACGACGACGCCTAGGGTTCCTGATTGCGATGCTACTTGCACCGAAGTCAAAATGTTGCAAAGGGCAGCCTCTGGACAACCAGCAAGACTAAATTTTGTCTAGATGAGTTAAAATGGCGATTATTTAAATGAAAACAATACCTGTTCCAACTTGCTGTTCCAGGACAGAGACAAATGGCCCTGCCATTGTCAAGGTGAGGTCTTACCCGTCCCATAAAATCATAATCAGCCTAGAAAATGCAAAATTTTTAATTAATAATTAAAATATTTTTATTACTGGTGGAATATTTGGGAGCATCCAAAGTTTCTGACTAGACTTTAAGTCAGCACTTCCCGTATAGTTCCCATTTGTTTGCTTTGGGCCCGTGATTTTGCATTACAAAATTGTATTTGAAATGCAGATTCAAACCAAGTTGGCCACTAAAATTTCAAAATAAGTGATGATTTACCTGGAAACCATACTCCATCAAAATCACATTAGGAGGCAGATCGTACGTAGGTGACAAATTGTTGCAGCACAGCATGAGTGTGACGTGAGAAGGAAGCGAGAGCAGATGCCAAACTTTTGAAATCCCTAATGAATTAGTATAAGTGTGGTAGCTATCACCGTTGACAAAACCATTTGGCGTTTGCTGTGGAAGCAAAAGGCTGCTCAGACGAGGCCCGATGTGGATCATTCTGTCAAAGAAATGAAATTAAAACTGATCTCAACACATCTTTTGATATTTTGGAATAAATCTTACTCTACGTTGGGGAAACTTGCAACGAGCTGCTGGAAAACAGGCCACATTAGTGAAAGTTGCGACTCCTCAACGCAATCCTCGACATCCAGAACAGGCACTAAGGTGAGGAAGCGATCTTGACAGTAACGAGCAACACTCATTAATTCACTGAAATGGAAACATTAAGTAGGAAAATTAAATTCTTTTGAATGTTTTGAAATTCCCACCTTTTAGAGTAACTAAGCTGCCAGTCTGAGCTTGGCCGAAGTCTTGTGTAAAGGTGGAGGTAATTCATCTTCAACTGGGACCAAGTTTCAATTTTGTGGAACAAAAACTCCTATGAATAATAATATTTTAGGTGCATTCCAGGGATTTGGGTTCTTAAAATATGTACCAAGCAAGGAATGCGGCTGAGTGGAGAAATGTCGATCAAGGCGCCTCTGTGGCTAAGAGCAGGGTGGTCTTGGATTATTACGGGTGACAAGCCATCTTCATCCGACTCAAGCCGCAAGAGCTGCGTGAGAGTCACCAAGGCATAGTGCAAGGCACATAAACTTCCAGCACTGATTTTAATCTAAAAATTTATATACCGTTAATTTTAAATTTCAGAAGAAAAATATCAATATTTACATTGTTTGATGTGATATGTAGCTGGTATGTATTGGTTGATGGAAAAATCTTATCACTGACACAGCAGTCGACAGAGTTGACTTCTTTGTTGGCCAGTCCACCACCAGGCGGATGAACTCCTCCGACCATGACTGAAAACCCAAGGGACTGGAGAGCAGCTCTGTTTGCTTCCCAAACATCAAAGATTCTAAAAATAAATTAAAATCTGGAAAAAATGTACAGAAGATTAAGTAAAAATTTACTTCAAAATTGGTTCAGAGCTTGGATGAACCATCACATGAACTTTTCCATCAGGGACGAAACTGGGCCCCGGTAGCTCTTGAATTCTTTGAGGTTGCGGCCACAAAAGTTGCAGACTTGTCCTAGTTACAATTGGTGCTACAGGAGTTTTCAAACTACATCGGGCTAATTTCTCAGCAACCTTAGAAATATGTTTTAATTTCAAATTGTTGAGAATTTTAATTTATTACATGTTCAAATTGGGGACTTATGTTGTTTTTGCTCAAAGGGCTGTTCGGTGACAACGGACCAAAAGAAATTTGGGAGATTTTTCTTGTATTGTCATAACAGTCGAACACTTCACTCGACAGTGAACGTACGGAAGCGGCTCTAATTCTGCCACTTTCATCAGTCAAAATTCCACCGTTCATTTCGGCTGGCATGTTGTTGGCTTTGGTGTTGAAAGAGGTGTGGCGTTCCAGCAAACTGGACAGTTCTGGTTTGCTTCGAGCTACATCTAAAGACGTTTGCCCAGAAAATTTCCTGAATAAGAGCAAATTTTTTTATTTGAAACTATTTTTGTGGACAAAAATTACCCCCTGACAGCTTGAATTAAAGGATTTGCACCTCCTTGCAAAAGTTCCTCAACGATTTCAGAATTACTTTGGGAAACAGCGTCATGTAAAGGTGTCGCTCCACACGAGTTCATTGCATTAACATTGGCTCCTCGATCTAGAGAAATTTTGATTTTATTTAGTCCAATAGAATTATTTTAATATAACATTACTTATTAAACAAGAAACAATGTCTCTGTTTCCATAAGAAGCAGCCCAATGAAGCGGAGTGTTTCTACTTTCTTCACTGTCAAAGGCGTTAACACTCAGACCGGCCGCTATCAATTGGCAAACTCGACCGACTCTATAAATTGCAATAAATAAAAAGATTTAATGTGGAATTAAAATAATGAACTCTCACTCTGAATTTCCAGTTGCTCTCAGCAATTCATCAACGTAGATTTGCCTCATGTGCGAAGTGCTTGCTGTGTCAAGAGCATTTTCACCTGCTGTATTTTGGATTCCAGGATCTGCCCCAGCCGAAAGCAAAGTGCGTACCACGTCCCCTTGATCGAGCTAGACACAGACATCATGAAGTTCTTGATAAGAAGATTATTTTTGTGTAAATTTACATACTTTTGTGGCGTAGAGCAGAAGAGTTCCGTCATCAATGAGCGGCGAGTTCAAAACCTTTTCTTTCGTCAAATTCTCTTGGCCTGCAATTTAGGTGTTTGTCAGAAAGTTGGCAAATTGACGTGTCAAAATATAAATTTTGCTGAGTACACACGTTGTACTCACCTTTATCACAGGCTTCAAGCAAGGTTCGGACGATGTCTGACCTTCCCTGCTCGATTGCGATTTTGATGTTCGAAATCAATTCACTGTCCATGGTCGTCAGAAATTTTGTAGCCAGAATCGGCTGGAATGAATAATTTTAAATGCTTTTAATATTCATATTTTAAAACTAAATTTTCTGATGAATGGCAAGTGCAGCGAGTTGACGTCAAATTGACAACACAACCGGACACCGGTGATGGGCGGAATCCCTGAACCAAGGGAGTTTCACTCCAACTCAACCAATGGGGATGCAGAAAAAGCAACCGGGAAATCATTCACGAATTTAAGTTTTTAAAGGTCCGTGGGGTTGTGAGATTTACGCAAAATATATACTTAATCCTTCAATTTTATGACTATGATTATTGCTTACAGAAAGCAGCAGAAATAAAACTTTGCCTGATCTTTTTTTCTTTGAAAAATACTCGATATTTAATGATATCAAATTGATACATGATTCTGAGTTTTTAAAGGCCGATTTGGCTAAATACACATTTTCTGCTAAACCTGGACAACAGTTTTTAGAATGCAATTAATTTAACCCTAGAAATACTATAAATTACTTCTTATTTGAAAAATATACTTATGAAAATAGCATCAGCTGGAAATTGCAAAGTCCAACAGATTTACATTTAGCAGTCTTCAAGGGTCTTAGAATTAATAAAAAAAAATCAATTAATCTCTTAGGTCTCTGACATTTTCCACTATCTAAATCTTTGCCAATCTATGGGCGCCACCCTTGCTTGCTCTTGAAACCAACTTCAGCCTTGACAGTGCGACCCATGCCGTCATAAGTCATCCCCTCAGGCAACTTTGAAGCGTTGTCGTACATCCTCTTGAGCAGTCCAGAAGAACCAGAGGAGCTGAGACGAGACACCCCAAAGATGTTGTTTTGCTTCTGCAGAGGCACTGTGACCTTGTTGGAGTTGGAAGGCTTCAATGCGCGAGGCTTGGGAACGGTAGGGGCAGTGCTGGTTGAAGATTTGGAGCTCTGGCTGCTGGAAGGCCTGCTGGACGAAGCTGAACTTTTCTGACTGTTCTTGTGCCCAGATTCGGAGCTTTTCTGGCTGTCGTCTTCCAAAAGCCCAACTCCCAGGTCATCCATTTGACTGTCGGCCAGTCGAGGCTTCTTGCGAGCATTCATTTGCAGAGTAATAATCTCCTTTTCCAACGCAGCCATCTGATTTTGCAGCCGGGCCACTTCTTCTTTGTGTTCCTTTTCAAGTTTGGCAATGCTCTCCTTTGCATGATTCTTCTCCTGCTCAATGCCCCTTTTCAAATGCTGAATTCTGTTCTTTGAGGAAAGCAGCTCTCTAAAATAATTGAAAAATAGAAAAAATTATCATTATTTTTGGCTTACTTACCTTTTTAGACTGCGACACATGGTAAGAATAGAGTCAACATCTGAGGTACTGGCACTATCTCTCAGAGCCTCATCAGCTTCAGAAAATGTTCCATCCACAACTTTGTTCACACTAGAAAATTAAACAAATTACCCGAGTTATACTTTCAATAAAGCTTATTAAAAAACAAACCTTTTCCAAATTTTCAAATCATTTTCAGCCTTTTGTTTGAGTTTCTTCATCTCTTGAAGTTCTAAATCAACATTTTTCAACAATTTAATCTCCTTCTTCATGAGTGCGTTGTGACTCCTAATGCGCACCATTTCAGCGCTGACAACTTCATTGGCAGTTCTGCATACAAAATCGATTGATATAAAATGATTGTGACACAGTCATCAACATTTACTTCAAATTATCAAAGTTCTCCTTTATCTTTTTCAACTCAGCCTCTCCCTCATTTCGACTTTTGTTCAAATTTCGTATTTCTAAGTTCAGAGAGTCGATGGTTTGCATGAGCTGACTTGGGTCCTGCACAGATGACTGATCAGCAATATGTGGAAAAAGTTTGATGCACTTATTCTCTGAGGTTGGTTTTCTGCACTGCGGGCAAGATTGAGTCCTAAAAATAAAAATATCAATGAGTAAAAAAATACATTTTCGAAGATTTTGACAGAAAAATACCTCTCGAACCACTGCATGGTGCAGGCAACGTGATACATGTGCCCACATGGTAGACAAAAAATGTCACACGTCTGGTCAAACAAGTTCAGACAAATTGAGCACGAGAGTAACATATTTCTGCTACTTGTAGAAATTCGTCAAATTCGTGTCTGAAATAATTTTTCTTGATTAATTAAGGATGAACAATGAGAGAAAGTACATAAAACAATTAAGATTGTGTAAAATTCAAGTTAGCGAATAAATTCTTGAGCATAATGAATAATAACCAAAATATAAAAATTAACGAAAAATACGAAAATGCGAGTGTGTAATGTACGCATTCGTGCAACGAGGAATGCACGCGTTTTCTATAAAGTCTGTGGGACGTCAAGTTTCCTCTAAGATTGATTTAAACTAATAAATTAGATTAAGAGCTTTTATTCAATATACCAAATATACCATTTAATTCAAGCTGTAGACGTCAAAACCTAAAATTAAGGGCCAAATTTTCTGAAATTCCAAACTAAAATCGACGCTTCGTCCTGTCCTGAACCGCATATCCATGCCAAAGCAAAACTGAAACATATAACATCTGACAGGTCGCGAATCGCGGCAACCGGCTTTTTGTTGCTTGACCAATCGGCTTTCGTTTCCAAGTTCCAAGGAGGTTTTTAACAGATGCTGCAACCCGCACAACCTCCCGCACAAACCTGCTAAAAAATGATAGGCTGACTTTTAATTAATTCTTGAATTAGCAAACAATTAATATTTATTGCTCTGCTTCAATTAAATTTATTTTTAATAATAAACATAATACGAAGTTGTTAGAAAAGGAATCATTAATTAAAAAAAAATCCAATTTAAATTCTTAACCTCAAGACTTGTTTCAAATTTTATTAAAGAAGAAATTAATTTAATATAATTGCAACACTTTAGACAATCATCTCCAGCTCACGGGCGTATTCCATGAACTGCTCGGAGAGTTCCTTTGACGGCAACTGGTGATCTTCGATTTTCTTCTTGTCGAGAGCAGTGAAGTAATAAAAGTTATCCGACTTCAGATTCCAGTTTCGCTGCAAGTTTGCAATTAATTAACATGCAGTTTACATAAAAAGGGTAATTAAATTACCTGTCTACCGTAAGCCTTGGCATCTTCCACAGAGGAGAGGTAGAGCATTTTGACAGCTTCAGGCAGAGAAATTCGCTCGTAAGCTTTTTCCATGCAGGCAGCAATTTCATCTCTAACAGTCGAGAGCAAAATCTCCATGAAGAAGGAGTAATCAGGATTGGGGACATTTTCCTTGGCCAAGAAAATCTAAAAGAAAAGACGCAATAGATAAAATAAATACAAAAGTATTAAATATTTTAGAATTTTTGCAACAAGATTAGAAAATTGAGGCCGCTTTGTTTTAATTCAATTCAATGAATTTTAATATATATCTAAGAAACGTAGATTGCATTTTTTTTCCATTTCAAAACATATCTAAAGAATATGAAACAAATTGATTTTAAATATTTTTTACTGAAAAGGAAGGAAAAAAACAAAACTGAAATATTTTGTCGGATTTGTCCTGTTTTAAGTTACAATTGAAACTTACTCTATTGTATCTGCCCTCCATAAGGTACTGTTCAATGGACAGGGGGTGTTTGATGTAAGCGTTGTGGATCTGGTCCGGGGGCAGCAGTTCGAGCTCCGTGTGGAACTCGGCCACCGTGTTTTGTGACAGCAGGTAGAGAAGGTTGAGCCCCAAGAGCTGGTACTTGTATGGAGACTCCAAGAGACCAGTCCTTGAACACGTCGTTTTTGTTGTGTAAAATAAAATAATTAAAATATAATTCAAATTTCTCACTTTTCATCCCCCTGCTTGCCGTAGTCCAAGTAGTACGGCTTGAGTTGGGCTATGTATCTCTCAAAAGCGGGAATATCTTTCTTCGCAATGCTCCATTGCGCTCCTATTTCTAAGGTGTCACCTGAAAATCATTACTTATTTTCACTCTGAAGTCTAAAAATATTATTACATTTTGAAATGAAAATGTAAGAAGAGACAAATTCTTACGGGCGAGAAGGAGACACTTTTCAGAAGCATTGGTCTGGTCGGTGGGCAAAAAGGCCAACTGCGTCAGTTCAACCTAGAAATGCAATCAAATTTTTTAATTTCGATAACAGAATAAGCTGAAAAATAATAAAAATGAAATTAAAATGAGATTTCAACAGGGCAATGACTTGCCAAAGTGACACAAGGTGCAGCCACCGGAGTGGAATTCTTCTTGTAAAAGTCAAGTTTTGGAAGAAATTTTCAGGTCAATCGTACCTTCAGTCTGGTCAAAATTTGCCCTATCTTTTCCAAGTTCCTCGGTTTGGCCTTCCACTCGTCATTTAGAGCTTTGAAGGAAATTGCGGCCTGTTTGTACGCGCTCGACTCCATTGTTGATGTTTGCTGCAAATTTAGGGGAAGGTTCTGAAGGGACACACAGATGGCGCTGAAGTAATTTTTTCCGCGCGAAAGCAGCATGGACTATCTATTAGCTACGGAGGACACAAAACTTCAAAGCTCTCAAACTGTTTGAATTTAATGAAGATCGTTTTGCTTGAAACTGGAAATTTTTAAATTTTTTGAACAGCAGGCTTTAAACTGAACTGTGCAAACTTGAAATTCTTTTTTTCGGAACCGAATAAAATGCATAAATTTAATTTTTTTTTACATAAAAACCATTTCTCTTACTTTATTCCTATGTTCAACTTATATAATTTTGATAATTTTACTTTATTTCACTTTATTTGAAAACAATCAAGGGCATGTTGGAAGAATGCAGTCATTGTAGCCTCTGAGCATTTCATTGATTGTCCTGAGGAAAGGCGATGGACCGCATCCTAATTCGTTGAAGATATCATCACAAAAAAATCCAATAATATGCACTCCTCCGAGTTGAAGTCTTTGTATTAGTTCCATCTACGCGCAGTAAATTATGAAAAATTAAGAATATTCCAGAAGTGAAAATTGAATATTCACGCGGTACTGCACTGCGCCCATGTCATCAAAAGAGGCCCATTTTTCTCCATTGGAGGCAGACGTTTGTGTTTCATTTGTACCTCTTTTCACTACCCAATTATCTTTTTCAGAAATAAATATCCTTCGCATCATCTACAAATCGTTTTATATTAAATTTGAACCAATTTATTACCAAATCCTCTCATAACTGATCAATTAATTATTTAATTGATATATAATATAAAACATAACTTTCAATAGCATAACACATGAAATATATTTTTTTAAAAAAAAAAAAAAAATATTTGTATAATAATATTTAATTCAGTTTTAACTGATGAATAATAAATAAATAAAACCTACTGCAATCCACATAATATGCTGTTTATCATTCAAGATCCTACTTCCAACACCTGCATCTTTATTTTTTCTGTGCAAAATAAATTTTAAAGTTATCTTTGACCATTTTCTATAATTAACGGACTTTATCGCCAAAGTATATAATTCAACTTCCGGCTTGAAGGCCAAAATAATTTTCCCAGGATCGTCAACTTGAGCTCTAAACATTTCCAAGGTGTTTTTCTACATAGAAAAAAAGTCAAAATTTTCCATTGATCTCATTACTTATTAAATTAATAAGTATTCCGAACGAACCACTTCAATATTTGGAGTGCTGAATCCAGTTGTGAGAAGAGCCGATCCGTGGTAATCTGTGGCGTAAATTAATAAGTGATCAACAACAGCCGCCACCTTGGGAATGTCGACTCCTGCGATATATGTATAGAAATAAATACACTTTTAACAATTAATTCCTAAAAGAAATTTTGCCTCTGTTTAAAATTGCTTTTGAGCCAGAGCACTCCGTAGTAACCAGCAGGCCGTCTGGTTTTAAAGCCGTTGTGAAGTTCTTCAACAATGTCACGTAATTTACTTTGTCTTGCACAGATCCATCTATGCCGCCCTGTTTACCCGAATTTAGAAAAAAAAACTCTTGGTCAAAATGATTTGAATTTCAATACGAAAGGCGTGGCTGGATGGATCCAGCGAATGTTGACGCCGTGAAAGTTGTATTTTTTTATAATAGCGACAACTTCGCCCACAAACGCGTTCCTTTGATTATCAATTTTGCTGATGCTGGAAAGCATCTTTGGTGATATTGTTACAGGGGAAACACCCCACCAGTCACCTAAAGTTAACATTACGAACAAAGAGGTGTTAAATTATTTTACAAAATTAAATTTACCAATGACAAGGATAACTTTCATCTTCGCCTTTTGAAAGTTCCTCAAATTCTTCTCTAATTCTTTATAAAAACGTTATATTTTCAGTTTCTCTTACAATTTCAGTCGAGCTTACGTTTGTATTGGTCTTCCATAAAAATAACCTTTTTCTGCACTTCACTGTATTTCACAAGTGGAAACACTAAAATATGGGTGCATAATTTTGATGCTGCGATCCAATCCGACAGACTGTTAATTTTTGTATCCAAATCATCCTCGCGACTAAAAATACAATTCAATCATATATTCTTGAAAAATATATAAATAAAAACTCTAAAATATTTTACAAGGAAGGGTCAAAGTTGCAGAACACTTTTTTGTCCGACCTCCAGTTTGGAACAAACGTGCCATGGCACATGTGCCCAGCAACTATAAAAAATATATAGAGATTTTTTTATATATTTCATGGAACCGAATTTAATTAGACCATTCATAGTTTCGGGGTTGTACTTGCAATTGCTTCCGAACATCGCATCATCCAACAAATCCAAACAATCTGCGAGGCAATATTTGATATTGTGATTCTTCAGACGAACACCGCTGTCATTAAATGGGCAGTCAGGTGAGTCAGTCGGAAGAACAATTTCTTTGGTTGGCCTCTGAGTCCTCTTCCTTGTCGTCGTTGTACTTGGAGTCGTTACAATTTTTGTTGCTTATTTTAATAATTTGAGGAATAAATTTAAAAAAACTGCATTTCGATAAAATCATTAAAATATATAGCATTTTAGTGCTGACTAAAATGCCTAATCTATTGCAACTGTACTTGAATATAATATTATAGTGATGATACTAAGCATTTTTTTTGTCATAAGTTTAGCAAACCAAAACCTACTTTTTTGGTCTCTTTTAAATCAGTTTTAAATATTAATTAAATAGTTGATCTTTGATGATTTTAAAAAGGGCATCAATCAGCATAAGATAACTTTAATTTTGGTTTTTAAGCATTTTTTTAATGTTCTGATCGACGTAAAAGCGTCGTCCGACTAAAATGTACGAGCCTAAAATTGATAAAATTTAATAATAAAAAAATAATTACTCTTTGCTGTGGCAGCGTCATCCTCCTCGTCGTCCTCTGCGATTGCTTTGAATGCCTGTAATTTGCGTGATTTGAATTTGATAGAAAAGAATTGAAAAGTTCTAACTTGTTGCAAGATTAAAATGAACAAAACCAGAAAGATTTTCATTGTTAGTCAATACAAGAATGCCAAATGTGGGATGAACGCGAAAACCGTCTCTGATGGGGCCGCACGCATGCAGGAAGAGCTACTGACAGCGCGGAGGAAAAGCGTTTGTGATGACCGCGTATCCTGCATAAAACAACAGGCAAATCAAAGCATTTTAGCCAGAAATATTGAAACAAGGTTTTTGATATGCTCGGCCATAGCGAAAGAGAGACGTCATCACTCATCGCCCTATTGAAATAGACGAATGCCAGCCATAAATATTTCTGTAGCGGGTAGAAATATTAACGCCGCTTTCAATTATAATAAAATTTTTTAGCCGATTTTTGCTCCCTAAAATTAAATTTTTCTTTAATAACAGGAGATTCACACTCCATAAAATATCTAAGGCATTTTACTACTGAAGAAAACATGAATATAAATTAAATTAATATATCCACAACAATTTTCTTCTATTTGCTTACAATTAGTTCTAAAATAAGAGGATCTTGAGCAAAAATAGTTGATTTAATTATTATCACTGCTCTTGACTAGCAGAGGATGCATGATAAAATCTGGATATTTCCATCATATGAGCCAAAAAATGGCCCAATTTTCAGCTTACATTTTTATTATTTTTTATTTGAAAGTGGGAGTCGAACCGGAAGGTGTGATAGGCTCATGTTGTCTTTGTACGGCCGCTATTCACTCGATATCACATGAACGTCGCGCGTTTTTGGTTCAATTTTTAGATAAATATTTAACACGAGAGAAAAAATGTGCGATTGTATTGATGAATAAAATCTCGTCCCAAATTTATGTTGGTACATTGCCAACGTCAGAGCCTTGGTCAGAGCCAGTCAGAGCCTTATGAATCTGGGAGGAGACATCTTTTTTTTTGGCCGACATATAACAGAGCTGATGATCAGGTTTGATGAATAATAATGTATGTTTTATTAGTTATTCTATTATACGTGATTTTATATAAAAATGTTTGTAATTGTAATAATTTTTGAGCAAAAAAGAAAAAAAAGTTAATTGGGATTTTGCTGGACATGTAATTTATTTCTCCATAAATATACTTCATTTTCATTAACAAAAATTATATCCAGATAATTATGCCAGATTTAAGCTTTTAAAGTGCAGGAAAGCCTTATTTGAAACATTTTGCCGCTGCTCTTTTGGTAAAAAAAGTCAAAACAAAAATTGGGAGTAAAAATTTTTGAACGAATTTATAATTTATTTTTCCTGCAAGAGTAGAGCACAGTAAAAAAATAGTACAATCAATTACAACTAAATTTCTTGTCTTCAACCATGAAATATTGTCAATGTGCTATTTTATTTATTTTTTTCTGGCTTTGTTGCGCAGTTAAAGCTCAATATTTATTTCTACAGGGTTGCTTTAGTTCCTTGGGATGTTTTTTCTGATCATTTTCTAATCACAACAATTAATTAATGAATTATGTTTAAAAAACAAATCACGTGGCAATATGTAGGGGGAAAAATTCCTAAATAATTTATCGAGAAATTTAATTTCTATGAATTTATTGAATTAAAAAATGCATTGACTATTTACAAAACTGGGATTTGGCTAATTCTTGATACTTCTAATCTTCTTCTTCTCTTTGTAAACGCACTCAGCTTGAACTGCAAGCATAATTGAAAAAACCTTCCTTTAAATTTGACAAATACACTTATATAATTTCTCAAACTTTGTAAATAACTACAAGCTTAACCAATGTAATGGAAGCTTTTTAGCTTAATATCACCAAAATTATGGTAATTTTCTTCCTCGAATACAAAAATATGATTGTATTATGTTGAACTTACTTTTGGGGTCGAATCTGACCATTTCTAATTTTTCACCAAGCCGGTCTCGAATTTGAATAAACCTGTGGTCACTAACCATGGACTCCATCATGACCATTATTGTTCTGTAATCAATTTCCATACCATAAGAAAACTGAAGAAAACAAGACTCACAGTAAATAAACAATTCTATGTATCTCGAAATTTATGTGCATTTTTAGAAGAGGTTATTTTTATGGAGGAAAGTTTTTTACTCACTTCGATTTCACTTTTTTACACAAGACATTTGTCAAGCGCATTTTAAAATTAAAAAATGCCCTAAGTTCTGTCCGTTTCAAGAAAATAAGCCCAGTCAAGACTCAAAACATGCCGTGCAGATCGTTGTTTTGGTTTAATGACGAGTTGACGCCCCCTTTATTGTTAGTTCATGATTTCGCCGTCGGATCGCGCTCGCTGGTTGATTCGAGCCGAGTTAGGCAACCTGCTAAACGTCCGTGTCTGCGGCTAAACCCATGTTGCATAACTTCCAGGAAGACTGCATTTTTCTCTGTAATTTTAAACTTTTTAAAGGCAAAAGAGATAATTTATAATTTATGTATGTATAATGATAGACACAAGTTTTAAGAAGAAATAGTTTAGACTTTATTTACTTTATAGTAAACTTTTTACACGGTGCAAATTATGTACATTGCTCATCTCTGTTCCTTTTTTATTATTATTTTTCATACATCATAGCGATCTCACTTCGATTACATTATCATTTCAATCAGGTTTTGTACCCTCACAATCGTCGCGATGATTTTTACGGGGGCCGATTTAGTTTTGAATAAAATGTCTTCAAGCATAATTTTGGAATGCAAAGTCAAAGTTTGAAATAAAAAGTTGTTTCTCATTTCAAATCAATTATAATAATTGTAAACTCTGAAGGACATGTTTCAAATTCCAAACTCTTTTGCTGAGATCAAAGAAGCTTTTGTAGGGAAATAAAGAAATAGTTGAATTGATATTGTTTTCAAATTTTTGTAAATTTACATTTTTCATTTTATTATTTGGAATGAAAATAAGTCAGTGGAAGATATTTAAAAAAATCGTATTTTTATAACTTTTTCAAAATTGCTCTCATTCAAATGCAACAATATTTGTAAAAATTAAAATGAGAAATTGAAAATTTATTATTCTCTATTCAAACTGCTAAATATATGTTACAGAAATGAGATTAATAGATAAATTTTGCTTTCCTATACTTTTATTTCGTACTTCTTACTTAAATAAGAATTTTCTTAATTATTTTTCATTCTCTGCTTTTCCCACAACCCCTGTCTTGCACCTTTCCTTCTTAACGCATGATATTAAAAAGCGAGAATATCATAATTCACTTTTGCGTATGAAAATGGGAAATTATATATATTTTACACTGCATGGTGATAACAACCAGGGATAATAATTGTAAGCAACTGCGCGTTTCAACTAAATCCTATCGTGTCGCCTTCTCGTCATATTTCGTCGTAGCCTAGTGGAAGATCGAGCCTCGTCGATGTTTTGATATGTTATTGACTTAAAAAAGTTGTCCCGTATCACCAAAATTTTTGAATTTTATATTTACAATTTGAGTTTTCCATTTTTACTTGAATGTGTGTGTATGGGTTCTTATTTTGTAGATATATTTTTCTCATTTTTTTTATTTACAAACTCTACATAAAGGAGAGACAATGTAATCTCAGCAATACTTTGGTAACAACCCTAAACAGAAAGAGTTAATTCTTTTTCATCGTTCAACATGCAATATATAATATATATTAATATCAAAAAGTACATAACTTGAAATGAGTTTTGATCTGCGCCGGCAAAACGAGAAATATTCAATCTGTGTTTCAAAAGTTTGCCGCCAAATGAATTTCAAGCTGGGCGAATTTTTCTATTTATAACTGTTAATTTTCCAATCTTTTATAATCAATTATTTTTAAAAATTTGTGTGGAATGCTAAAATGTTTCAATTAATAATGCTGGTTGTTTTGAACTTTGTGGATATGATTTATTATATATTAATTTTTTTATCAGTTAAAAACTATTCAAGCTTCGTCAGGATTAAACATAAAAGTAGTAGCAGATATGAATTTGGAAATATTTGTTTGAGTGACTCATTGAGTCAGATTTCATAGAATCAAAATATTTTTTTTTAGACAAAAATATTCAAAATAAAATGAATATTGAAAAGCAGGTAGAAAAGAAACTAAATAGTTTAAATCGCCAAGCAAAATATTCAATCGGTGTTCCAGTAGAATTAAATGAGAGCCAATACAGATTTGGAGTCCACAATCAAATTGCTTATAGAAGTTTAAACTCTCTTACAGCTACAGTAATATTGCTTATAATTTTACCACACCGGATAAAAAGTCTGCAATATTTTATATATATATTTAACAAATTTTGGTCGAGCTAGCGAGTTGAAAAAGTCGAATCGATTTGCATATTCGAGGAATTTCCAATCGCACAGCGATGCTTATTACTTAGGAGAGCGTAAAGAGCGCGAGTGAAAGAAGCATTTTTGGTTATTTTCCAAGATCGCGAACGGGGCCGTCGCCATCGTCCAACCGACAACAAGTTTGTTTTGCACACACTTGAATTCACAGGTGCGTCGACTCGTCGTCACTCACTGGTTGGGATGGCTGCCCCCTTTCCTAGAGGAACTCCTCTTTGGTCTCTCTAGTCCTGTGTCGTGCCGCCGACGGCCGCGGCGGCGCCGCCGGCGCCGACGTGCTCACTGTCGTCGAGTCGTCCTCGTCCGACTTGGCCGAGACGTCCGAGGCGATCGGCGTGTTAGGCGCCGGCGCCTTGGCCGCCCGCGACTTGCTGCGTCGCTTGCGGATCGCCGGAGGCACCGCCGAACTTGGCGCCGTCGTCGTGCTGGACGAGTCGCCGCCGCCGCTGCGGTTCGACCGCGTCGACCGCGGGTTGTCGTCCTCGGACACCGCCGGCGTCGTCGCCTCGCTGCTGTGCAACGAGCACAGCCGCTCCGACACGTTGCCCAGCATCTCCTCCAGCCGCGCCGCGCGTTGTCCTAATCTCTGCAGCTCCAGACGTACATCAACCTAAAATCATATATTTTTTATTTATTGAAATTTAAATTAACTGTTAAAAATATTCACACTTTGAGTTTTCATAAATGCAATATCTGATAATTGGATTAAAGATTAAACGCCATGAAACATTTATTTTATGAAAGATTCAAAACTGTGTAACATGAACAAACCAAGCAAGGGAAGGAACCTTGGCAACTTGATCATGGTTTTGGTTACATGATAAATTAATAATTTAATTTTCCACACTTCATTTACCCGCAAGTAATATTTTTATAACAGGAACAAGTCTGAACTTGAAACTTAAAAATAATTTTTTTAGGTTTCCCGTTTTATTTCCTCTCTCTCTGAGTAGCAATTTTACTATATTTTATAATAAAAATATTCATACTGGAAATATAATATAATTGATTGTATCATTGAGACAGAAAACCAAGGATTCTGGCAAAATTAAAGTTTAATAGCCACATGAAGGTTTGGTGCAAAGAAGGCAATCAAAATTAAAATACATTCATTTTAAAATGCATAAAATGATAATTATAGCTCAATGTGTTTTAAATATATTTAAACAACATGTTTAAAAACGGAAATTTTATGTAATTAAAAAAATTAAGTTTTAATAACAAAAACCTATCAAAAATAATTTAAAACTCCTCAATTTGTGCTCAAATATTAATTAAAACAAAATAGATATATCTTGATTTTGATTAAATATTAAACTTAAATATCTTCAATAATTACATTTGTAGTCGTTTAAAACATAATAATTTTTTTCGCAATAAAAATTTATATAATCTGTTTTCTCATTTTTATTTTTCAAGTGTGAATATTTATTATAGTATACTATTTTTTAATATTTAGAAAAATTTAATTATTTTATTTGTACAGCGGATTCATATTGATGTTATAAAAACAATGTGTTTGCTGTGTTTATGTAACTGCCAAATATAAAAAAACTGAATCAGCTTAAGGGCAGTCATAATTGGCTGGTATTTCGTATTGTCGTGCTAGCGAAATTGCTTAAAAAGTTGTCCATTTTAAATATTTCAAATAACAATTTTTTTCGTGGTAGGTTTTCACTATTAAAGGTGGATTCATGGTGATTTGAATTTTAATTTAACTTATCCTTGTTGGTTTTTGTGGATCGTTGATATTGGTTTTTCTTAAACAAATAAACGTCTCACAAAATTCATTGAGGAATATCGGAATTTAAATGCAAAATTCCATGTATATTTTTAATGTAATGCTGATTAAAATAGCATAATCTGCAAGTGGAATATAATAAAAAGTAGTACTCAATGACTTTTTAATATTATCAATTGATGAAAACCCCAGAGTAAAAATTTGTAGTTGATATAATTTATAATTTATAAACAGCGAAATTAATTTTAAAAGCCTGACCTTAAACTCAGCAATGGAAGCCAAAAGCAGTTGCAGCTCGGGCGCCGGCAAGGGTGCAACGATCGGCGCCACGATGTTGGTCGGCGCCACAGCAGTGGAGGTGGCGATTAGGCTGGTTGTGGTGGCGGTCGAAAGCTCGGACAGCTTCTGCTCGCTGGAGCGCAGGATGCCGCTGTCGTTGCTGTCCGCCTTCCTGAGCAGCGCCAACTTGGAGGCGGCACGTCGCTCCTCCACCTCCACGATCTCGTCGATGGTGTCCTGGCGCGCCGACGTCCGTTGGGGCGTCGTCTGCTTCGGGAACACCTTGTTGCCGGAACCGGACGGAGGTGCCGGCGCCGCCCTCTCCTTGGCGCTCGGCGCCCGGCCCTCCTTGTCGGAAGACTCGGCGCCGCTGCTGGCGCTGCCCAGCAGACGGCCCCACCTGGTAGCCGCGCGTGACGGCGCCGGTGCCGGCGTCACCGACGCCGTCGTCGCCACCACAAGGCAGTGTTCCTCCTGGGCAGAGCCGAGACGCGCGCTGCAAACGCTCTCTGAGTCGCTGGCGCCGCCCCCGCCGCCTCCGCCGCCCCCTCTCTCCACGTCCGGCGTCGCCAGCGGCGTCATCATCCCCGCGTGGTTGCTGCCCGCCGTGCTCGCCCCCGCCGTCCCTCGACGAAATTTGGAGAAAATTTTACGCACTAAGTGGTCCTGGTTGTGGTCCAGCTGCGGCTCGTTTTTCCGACGCTCGGCCAGCTCTCGCTCGCGCCGCACGTCAGCTACTTTGCGGAAGATCAACTGCAAATATGACACTCACTTTAGCAACTAAGTTTTTTTTAATAATAATAATAAATTGACCAAAATATAAAAACCTTCCTAGATATACCAGCTATTCTCGGATATTTTTTTTTTATATTTTGATGAATATTTGAGTTTTCTTATATCAAAGTAAATATTTTAAACATCATTAATAACAGACAAAGTGGGGGGTTAGAATTTTAACTTTTTGTATAATTTAATTTGGGTTGTTCTTTTATCTAATTTAATTCATGCCCATTCTTTAAGATACGTAATTTAACGAAAAACCAAAACAAATAATAAAAAATTTAGCAGCATTCATTGTGAGAAAATTCATACTTCCTCAACTTTATAATTTAAAAATGGTTTTAGAGGCAGGAAATTTCTAATTGTTCCAGAATTTTTTTTAATAGATTTATAATAATTACCTGCAGCTAATTATCTGTAACTAATAATTACGCTATTTTATAATCATTTTACCTTTATTTGGAGAAAATAGAGGAGAACCGATAACTTCAAATAATTCTTATATCTAGTTCTTATTTTTTTTTGAAGCACTTTTTATAAGCAGAATAAAGACAAAGAAAAGGGTGTGAATGAAAAAGGAAATACATCTTCTTGAGATGCAAATAATACGAAACCCCTTGGGGCGGTGGGAAAGTGTTTCTTTCTCTTTCCAGACAGACACAAAGCGCGGCGCCTTACCCGATGTCTAAGATTGTAGGTCAAAAGAAGGTTGCGGGCAAATGAGTTGGCAAACGCTTGGTAGAAGTCTAACACCTCCAGCAGTTTGTCTCGTTTGATTGTGTGAAGATCACAGTACGTTAGGGCGCGAACGTTCGCTGCAGACTGGCCCACCCCGCCGTCCTTCCAGAACGAATCTCCAAAGACGTCGCCCTTGCCTGTCGAATAAGAATACGAATAAAGTCAAATTCTTAATAATTAAATAAACAAGATTAAGTTTCAAAGTTGCCCGGTATAACAACTCAATTAGAAATGGAAAGTGGCTGTCACATGTGTGACTTTTAAATAAATCATTTCATGTCATTTCTCAATAAACATGTAATGATCTAAAATCTAAGAGATATTTTGAGCATTAAGTTTATTAAAACAATCATCAAATCGCAGAAGAATAATTTTATTTTGTAAAATGTAATTAATTAATTTTACAATAAGTGGAAGTATTTATAAATATTAATAATTAAGCAATAAAAATATTTTTTATTTAAAAAAGCAATTACAGTGCATCATAACTTAAATAAGGTATGTTAAAATAATATCAAATATTATCATTTTACTGATTATTTTTTAAATAACAAATATAATAAGAAAAAAATAAGAACAATAACAAAATAATAAATGATAATGTTTAGTTTTAAAATAGCAGTTGTTTAAATTTTATAATAAAACTCAAACATAATTTCTAAATTAAAATTCAAACAGAAAAAATACCGTTAATTAATTGTATTTTTGTCCATAAGCATGTTATGCAACCACTCTCGACAGTCGCGGCGAGCCGGTTGCATACATTGCCGGTGCCTGCGGCCTTTAATGGTTTCTTACCGAGGATGGCGACGACTTCATCATCCTGGATGACCTCGAGGGAGCCGGTGACGATGAAGCAGAGGCTGTCTATGCTCTCGCCAGTGTGATATAAAAGATCACCCGGCGCCGAGTGGCTCATGGAAAAATGCATTGCGAGGGCCCTCAGGCAGCCGTCGCTGGCGAGCCTGAAGGCGGGGTGCTCGTTGAACACTTTGCGATTTAAGTGCACACAGATGTCGGCCTTCATGTCTTTCGGACAGTAGTTCAGCACCTGGAGTGTGGCGAGGGGACAAACAACAATGCAAACCAATCAGAGAGGCAACGTCATTAATCGCGAAAATAAAATCATTATTTTCAATTGCTATAAAATTTGTTCTCAGTCAGTGATGTTTGAGAGAGAAAATAATTTACTTCAAAGAGAGACTCTCGCATGCAAATCAACATGCTGATCAATCAAGATAGCTAGCAGCAAATTTATGGCGCCCGTCAGTGCTTCATTTGATTAGTTAAATGGAAATTAAAGTATATATATTTTCGAGAGAAAGATTGATGAGAGGCTATTAAGTAATGGGCGCTGTTGATTAATAACTAATGCATTTATCTCTCGCATCCATCAGATTAAAGTTAGCAAAGCGTATTTTTAGGCACATATTGAGGTTATTTACGACTCCACAACTCACTTGGTCCTTCAGTAATTATATGAAAATCTGAAATTAATTTTTTTTAAGGACTCTGTAAGTTCCTTCACGTCCCCAAAGACCACCTTTTTGCACAAGTCGGACATTTAGGGATAAATATATTTTTTTTTGCAAATTTATTTTGTCAATGGATGACGACAATTATTGAGTGAGAGATAGATAGTCACATGAAGACGAGTAATCTACATATTTTGTTTTTAAATACAACAGATAATTAGTTACACATATAATAAACATTGATTCTGCGCAACATTTAGTGGCGGATGAAAATTGCAGCTTTTTATTTTTTGACCAAAATAACACCGAGAAGCCTTACGGACACACAATTTAAGTAATCATTATGTGACTACAAACTATTTCAGGGTGTGTTACACTCATGGTGCATGCACAGATGTGCTTTTTCATAGAGAAAGAGAGACAGGGGTCATGCCTATAGCTGGTGACAGTGTTCATGCATTTTTATTGACATTTTGGTATGAACGAAAGACGGATTTTCTAACAACTGTTGTTTCCATATTATCTGGCATATTATCTTACTTAAATTGAATAATTTTTTTACAATGAATCTTTCATGAGAAATTATTTAAATTTTGGTAGATTAACGTCCATTTTTTTTACTTGATGTTGTCGGTGTAAGAGTTTTTCAATGTTTTACAGACAAAGGATTATACATTATTCAATTTTCAGTTTTAACATCCATTGCACATTACTATTGTACGGGGAGTACAGAAATGCACACATGCAGGGGTTGTGTCAATTTTGTTTTTGCTTTGGGTTGTGTGTAAATAATTGGCGTGTGTGTTGGATGCTGCATTTAATTTTTTTTCTGTATACACAGTCAAAAATAAGGTCACCGACTGAACTAGATCTTTATCATTTGAATTCACCAAAACACAGCGGTCAGAAAACAAAAGCAAAACGAGTTTACAAAAATTACTATTGTGAGACATATGAGATTCGCAAAATGATTATAATATATATGGAAACTGGAAAGATATGAAATACGGAAGTGACGGAGGCAGGTGATTCGTTTGAATAGTAATTTGCCAGACTATAGCGTGTGATTGCCGGACTAAATTGTATATATATGTAAATATATATATTGTCACATGCCTACTGGATAATATTTTGATTGCTTAAATTATGGTACAGTCGAGCAGAAATAGGCGCTTAGCGTTTTCTATGCGCACAAAAAAAAATACAAACTCTACAAAGGAGGTCAATTTTATCTCAGAGCTTATTGATAAAGCGCGAATTCATTCAATGATTAACCGCCAACCGCCCATTATATCTCAAATTGCAGTCTATTGTTGGTGTATGATAAATAAATTTTCATTGATTTTCTATATCTCAAATAATAAAGTTCAGCTCGCGCTCTGTGGTTTGTATGAACAATTTAAGTAAAAAAATTATAGGTATTATGTCAAATTAAGTAAATAAGAATTCAGATGTAGCAAACACTGAAATAAAATCTGAGAGTAGGCAATCAAAATACAAAGGATTCTTATAATAATTTTCCAGCTACCTCCGTCAATTCCGTCGACTCTAGCATCTCGGGCCCGCCACCGTCCCTGCCGAGTCCGCCGTTCGCCCTCGAGCTTCGGGCCTGAAATGTGTATCACACAGATCGAGCAACACGTCTCACTCCCAGAGCATGCAATCAGCGGCTAGGTGGCACATTTTTTTTTCACACTTCCCAACAAAATTTGATTGATGGTGTGGTTGGTGATGTGGTGGGTGAGATCACACAACGGGAAAGATTTTTATATGTATTTGCAATGGATGTCTAAAAAAATTGGAGAAAATAAAGACAGAGAGCGCTAGCAACATCAAAACAACTTCCGTCTTTTTTATATTAATTTAATTTTTTTTTATTCATATGATTGTCTTTCCTGAATGTGAGTATGATTTCAGATGAGGTTAGATTGTGTGGTGAAAAATTCAGTGTTGCATAATTTCTTATTTTTTAGAAAGAGACAAGGTGAAGTAAGGAGAGGATAGAATTGTCCGAGAAAGAGAATAGTAGTGAGACCAAAATAGGTGATCTTTAGTTGGGGAGGTAAAAATGGAGCCGGAGGATCGCCCCAAATGTGACCGACCTGATTTACCTTATCCGTGTCCAGTCCCTTGGTCATGGCCCACGTGGAGACGACGTAGTCCATGACCCTTTCCGAGAGCGCCTTGGGCACCTCGTGCAGCTTCATGAACTCGCGCACGTTGTTCAGCATGTCGTGGTACTTGGCAGTGGCCGAGGTCATTTGCTGGATGATGGTGGTCACGTGACCGAAGATTGTGGCGTACAGTAAGGCTTTTGGGACACAAGAACATTTTCATTATGAGCTGACAAAGGGCGAAATTTTTATACGTTCCATCAACATTCAAAAATTTTAAAATATATGCGGTAATTTCATATTTTATTGTTTATAAATTAATTTGAAAATAAAAAAATACGTTAAAATATATTTGAGAAAGTTCAAATATTTCTGAATAAAAGATTAAGATTTTTTAACTAGGGATAATTTTATCAGTTGAAACTCTAATATTTTTGCTAAAATTATGAAAATTGGAATTGGTCTAAATCTCATTGTTAAAATCAAATAAAGATCCCGGTCTGATGGTATTTTCAAACCTAGAATTTCATTTGTATTAATTATATACGTCTTAATTCTAGGTTTTTGAGTACCAGCAGACCGTAGGTCTCATCTGAACTGTCTTCTTTACTTATTCATTTTTTCCCCAACAAGTTTGCAATAAGTCCGGATTCAATTTTTACTGTAATCTTAAATCTTATCCTCAAGTTTAAAACATTTTCAGAATTTCTTATTTACAATTATCATAAAATTTAATGGAAACCTCAGCTCAATTTACTGGGGATCATATATTATTAAGCATAGCTTTTTAACATATTCCACAATAATAATTTTTGTAAAAATTTCTTAGATTTTAGCTCCAATTATGAAAAATGTCCAATTTATAAAAGTTCTTATCTTTACTGAAATAGGGAGTTAAGGAAATAGTTATAAAAATGAAAGGAAAATAATTCACACGCAAATGAAGATGAAATAAGCATTAGTTATTTTTTTTTTTAATTTTGCTATATCAACTAAAATGAATAAATAATTATAAAAATGAAAAAATATTAGAAAAATAAATTTAATTTATTCTATTCATATTTATGTTATCTCTGAAAATAAATATTACTTAAATATATTAAAATAGTAGAAATTTTTTAATTTTTTATTCTTACCAGCGATGATCATCATACAGATGGTGAAAATTTTCTCGTTGTCGGTTTCGGCGGCGACGTTGCCGAAGCCGACACTGGTCATGCAGGTCATGGTGAAGTAGAGGGCCGTCACGTACATGGTCTTACGTGACGGCCCGTTGACGAGCTCGGGTGCGTTCGAGTCGTTGGACCAGATGTACGAGTAGGGGCTCTGCGTGACGTTGGCCAGCTTCCACAGCCAGCTGTATTGAATACCGTTATCGGCGTCCGAGCGCCCTATCGAGTACCAGATGCACGCTAGCCAGTGTGCAACCAGCATGTAAAAACATAATAGCAATATCAACATGGCAGCGCCGTATTCGAGATATCGGTCCAGCTTTCTTACGACCCGTCCCAGTCGTAAGAGTCGAACCACTTTCAACGCACTGAAAAGGCTTCCAATTCCCTGAAACAGTCGATGCGAACACCGTGTTGTGGTTTTTTTGATTTTGCAACGCTCAACAGCAAAAGTTGCTTCGGGATTTTAGATTTGAAATAGTTTTTTTTCTATTTAATCTCCGGTTACTGGTCCCGTCTTTGCAGAATCATCTTATTTAAGTATTAAATTATTTATATTTATTTTTTTGTGGTATTCTGCGCTGATGAAGGAAAGATATTGAATATATGCAAACGTTCTGGAGAGGCAGTCAACTGCAAAGATTGGAGCAGTTACCGTTTTGAATGAGAACGTATTTGTTTTGATTTGCAAAATGCTTTATGTATAATACATTAACGCATTCCGTATCATCAGCGCGAGCAAAACACTTAAGTTATTCTAACATAGTGAGGAGGTGGAGGAGTAATTTAGAGTTTAGCCACTTTTGTTAGAGAAACGGGTGATTTTATTATTATTATTTTTTTAAAGAGGTTTTAAGGTTATGTGGTTAGGGAGTAAGTAGACTGCGTGCGTATCAGACACGCCGCCTGGAATATCGATTCTGTTGGAGGAAGGTCGAGAAGACGGAGTTTGAAGCGCGCTCAAAGTTATTGCGCCAGGATTTCGGAGAATTCAAGGCGCTGCACAAGGGGTAGTTTTCGGTCTCAAGATGAAAAGCACAGGTTACACACTTAGGTACAAAACTAGAAAGAATTTTATAAATAAAACAGAAAAAAATAATAATGGAAAAATTATAAATTTGAAGGTAAAGTAAACAAAGGAATAAATTAATTCACAATAAAAATTACCTGATCACGACCTGTAAAGCTTAATTAACACTTTTGTATAATTACTTTTATTTAGAATAGACTATTTAAAATTAATTAAACTTGTTTCTTATATGTCTCTGTGCTTTTTATTTATAATTTACATGAAATTAAGCGAGCTCCTGTGAGTTTCTAAGGAATTTTAAGGGTGTTTTTAATTATTTTCAACAATTGTTTAATCAATTAAATTCGAGAAATTTTATTTCTTCTATTTTGTTAGTGACTAAACTCAGCCTTACACCATTGAACCACATCTCCCGAGGTGTAACGGCCAAATAGCAAAATATCGTGTGTGAGGTAAGAATACCAAACAAACATCCAGAACATTAATTAATACTGAAGGTCGTCTCTTTTGTTAAGTATTTATAGACTATTAAATAAATATTATCTTGTTTGCTGATATATCAAAGAAAAAGAAACGAAACATTCAGCAGGCAACATTTAAAAGAGCAACACATTGATTTTGTCGGTCTCTTACTGAATTAGTTAGAACCATCAAATTATCGGTAAGGGTGAGAAAGAAGGGTTGATTACGTGAAGTATATGGAACAGAAACACCCACACATATTATACGAGAAAGGATGTTAGAAAGACATTTAGTAGATTGGGTTTTATGTTGGGAGTTTTAAAAAGGACGGAGGATTTGTTATTATTGTAATTTTATAAATTATTATAGATATGTTTAAAAAGTGATCTATTTTTTTATCATTATTTTATGTATTATTGTTTAAATTTTTATTGTGAGCCAATCTCTAAACGTAATTATGTGTGAGTGCGATTGACTCTACCGATGTAGTAAGAAACTTAGTAATTATTCATATATATAAAAAGTTCAATCAAAATGGTGTGTGTGTCTCGTGGTGCTTACGCAGGCACTGCAAACACAATCTGTCAGCTACACCTCGAAACAAGGGCCCGATAAATGCAGGCTGAAGTTAAGAGAAAGTCGGGTTTGGAGAAAAATAAAATGAGAAGAAGAAGAAGAAGTTTGGTTACAAAGACACAAAATTTTTGGCATCAACAACCTGATTTTTGTTGTCCTTGTCGAAAGTAATCAGATAGGCAAGGGAAGGGTTGGAGAAAAAAACCGAGAATAACTTATTTGTTCTGCGGCTATTGATATTGAAATGCGAAATCATTAGCTTTTTCGACTGTATCGCGAGCAGAGTCGTGGATTTCGAAAAATCCTTCTCAAACCCCACGACCATACCCATTTCAATAAGCCTGTTATCAAATGCGGAATACGACGCTAAACCTTGTTGAAAATTACTGAATATTATATTTATTCAAATTACTAAAATTTGAGAGTGAACTTTTTGCTATAGAGCGGTAGATCATTCTGAAACATTGAATTTTTCATTAAAAATGCTTTTCCTTAGAGTAGTTGAAAAGGCGAAATTGCTCAACATATTATCACAAATATTTGAAGGAAGCTTTGTTGAGAATTCGAGAAATATGTAAGTGACATTCGACGATCTTCGGCCCGTGGTGCGAGTAAATTTTGCATTGGAAATTCCAAACTCTCATCACCACAGTGCCGAAAAAGCCGATTCGATTCATGAAAGATATGCCAATCCTCAGAAAAAAATTAAGAGACGGCAGAGAAAAATATTTCATATAAAGATAGGAATCAATCGAGGAGTCGATCAAAGAGAGGCGATGAAATTTGCATTTGTCAGTATAACGAACCGCAATCAAAAATAGTGAAAGTGTTCATGGAGCCAAAAAGAGAGAGATAGATCGTCATGCACAAACCAGTTGAGAAAGAGTATATAAATGGTATACAAAGGGCAAATCTGATCAAAAATGCAAAAAGCCGTTCCAAATTGGGAGACAATCAGAAAGAGGGGATTAAAGGCATAGCAGCATAAATGTATAGAGTTGAAGAGTAAAACACCATGCTTAAAACGTCAGTCAATCAGCATGCTAAGTATAAGATCTAAAGTTAAAAGTAGCCAAGCCACCGCGGCACTAGCAGTATGTAAAGTATTACGCAAGGAGATCAATCGCAAAATAGAGGTAATTTTCAGTTATCAAGTAACTGTTTATGTACATAACAGGCAAGAAAAAATTTAAGACAGGCTGCAAAAATATAATCATGTGCAGCCTGCCGGGAAAGTTGCTCGTTTTTTTTTTTTAATTCAGTTTAGTTTTTAGCTAAACAGTCTGGGAATATTTAAAACCGTCGACATCGGCGACCTAAACAATAACAATGTAGGTAAATTAGTTGCCATTTTTCTTTTCTCGTAGAAAATTAACGAAATTCGGCTCTCACGACTTCTGTGTGTATGATTGAAATTTTTGTATTTGTCACTTCTAGTTTATTTCTATAGTGAGAGAAACGAAAAGAGGCACAGTTTAGAGCAAGAACCTTTGTTGGAAGGAGTAAAAATAAATCATTTTTTCTAAAAATCTGGATTTGTGTGTGAATTGCAATTAAGTCTTTCTCTGCCTAAATATAATAAGCAAACCAAATTATACAGAAATTGTGTCGGGACCCTGTGTACATTTCTGGGAACACGTTTTTTTTTCAATGCAGTACATTCAAAGGCAAATTTTCTCAATATGAAAATAAATAACACTCTGTGAAAATTTCACTGGTTTTCGTTCAAAACACACTGGACATCAGTGTCAATTATTTTTGTAATTTTATCTTGCTGAACATGCAAGTTTTGATTTATTTTTAAATTTCGTTTTAGGAAAAAACTTACCTTTGATAAATGTACATTGAGCAAATTCCGCAAGAGCCGGATAGCTTTTTTTTGGCACAGCTGTCTGTCTAAAAATAAGTTCAGTTTGGGCGCGACCGTTTTCTTTTTTGTATTTGCAATGTGCAAATTTACAGTGGCCCGCCGCGATTTTTCGCGTTTTATCTCCGGACTGTCTGATTGCAATCGTGCTGATTAATTGAAAATTCAATTAGGAAGTATATAGGGGCGTAATTATTTTTGAGCCTGCCCGGTTTAACAGGGGCTGCTCTTGTGCTCGCCACGGCGCAATTTTAATGAGCGAGAGAGTTTATATAGAGAGGTGAGTGCGCGGCTAACTAGAATATTTATCATCATTATACGCATCGATTACAAACTGAGCTGCGACCTTTAATATTCCCTGTCAACAGTAGAAATTTAATGAGAACCTGGGCTGACTAAAATTATTATTTATATTGAATAGTGCAACTCAAAAATTTAAGCCCACTTATTGCTGTGATTATCAGATTAAATAGCAATGTTGAATTTACATTATGGCTTTAACCTGAAGTTATTCTGTAGAAACAAAAATATTTATTATTCTAATTAATTTTATGAATTAAAAAAACTTTAAGAATGTTAACGGTGATTAAAAATATTTCTTTTTCATTTTTTTTACCAGGGAATATTTATAACTAAAATGTTTCCATCTGAAGTAGCCTTTTTTAATAAAAAATTATTGTTTTCATGTTCAGATCTAATAAAAGTAAACTAATTCCAAAACCTGTTTATATTTTCTACAAGATTGATATTTTTAATTAAAAGGAATATTGAATGGACAGAAGACAAGCACCAGAGTCGTTGGCTGGCGTGACTTCAGCCACAATCAATCAGTCAAATATTACTCTAGAAAAGCTGGAAACCAAACAACGCGGCGGCTGTGGCATTTCAAAACCAGGGTATGGGAATTAGACAATCAAAGGGTCGCAGAGAGCTAATATACGCAATCGGTCATCTACTTTGGTACGTGGGTCTCTAATTTACCGTGCCGAGCAATATTAACTGTCTCAATTGTAAGGGTTCAGAAATTGATGAAAATTAATTAGGGGTGGCTCATCACACAGTGTCCAACTCAAAAACGTCTGCAGTGATCTTGACTTTGCAGTTGTTCCGACTCTAATTTACCAAACCCATATCTCGTGCCTATTTATATAATTATAATGTCACAAGGCCTTCACTAGCAAACTCAATTACAAAAGAACGAACCAAAATTTGAATTTACTATTTGAAAAATTAAAAGGGGGGTAAAACACGTGTTGAACGTACAAGTGCAAGTGAAAATAATAGTAGTTTTAATCGTCATATTTGCCTGTTTTCATGAAAATATGGTTTTTATGAAAATTTTGAGGCCTGTTTTGTTGGTTAATTGTGAGGAGAAAAAGCTCAAATTGTTTTATATGTGTGTCTCAAACTCCGTTTCAAAGTCATGTGTTCTGAATTTACTGAAGCTCAAAGCTGATAGTGAAAGGTTGAAGTTTTGTTGAGAAAAATTCCAAAATGAGCAGGGGGGAAAGATGATAATTGTTAATTAGAGAAGGATAGAGGTTGGCATATGATAAATTTTTTTTCGTTTTTAGGAATAACACTTCTTCCAAAAATATGTATTCGAACCTCAAAATTCGTTTTAGAAATAAACCAATTTTAAATTCCAATTAGTTCCAATAAATATTTTCAAAATCCGGGTGGTTTGTACAAAATAAAAGTAGATAGAGAGTAAAAAAAGAAATGAAAGACAGAGAAAAACAACTGAAAAAGAAGTGACAATCATAGTACCAGTACCATATATAGAACCATTTATATAAATATATCGAGAGAACAGTTAATTTGTAATACAAAAATATCTCATATATATAAAAAATAATCATGTCGTGGCCGAACGAAAAGTGGAAGGCAAAAATTTACTTACATTGTCATCGTAGTCGCCGGAGGTTGAACAATTACTTACATCCTCGTCATGGTCAAAGGCGTTGAAAACGTCATAAGGCAGACAGGAGAGAAGGTCGATTACGAACCACGATTTCAAATAGTTCATGCGGATGACCCGGGGGTCGGAAACCACCTCGCCCCCCGGGCCCACGAAAGTCGTGTGAAAGTTGAGCACAATATCGATAAAGAATATCACATCCACTATTGAGTCCACCACCAGTAGCGAGACGTCCTCGGAGGTCTTGTTTTTGAAGGCCACGTTGTACGGTACCATGATGGCCGTGTAAAAAGTCAGGCACAAAATCACCCAGTCCCAAATCGCCTTGAACGCACAGTAGTGCAGCAGGATGTGGGGCGGCGTCTTTGGTGCTTCTTGCCGATACTGGGGCAGGACGTCTGCGCTCAGGCTCATCATCTGCCGGCAATACAAATTATTTAATTTATGCAAACAAATTTGGAGAATTCATGTTTCCAAGATTTTTTTATTGGTAAATAATATACAATCAATATCAATTAATCAATCAAAAGGCTGATAAAATTTCATAACTATTGGCAAATATTTAGATATTAAATTTTATATTTGAAAGTATTTTTAAATAAAAATTAATAAAGAGAAACGCCGGTAGTACATTTCTTTGAGTTTCGCTTGCGTTTTGAGGTAAAAGGTCAAAACCTCCAACGAGCTCTTAGTGAAAAGTTCTTAAATTGCAAAACTTTTAATAAAATATCTTTTTTTAAGTATTTGGTATAATTATATAATTATTAATGTTTTCTAATTATAAAAATTAAAATTATTAGATAATTTTTTTAATGCATAATAAACGAAAAACTTTTACATTCATTGCTGTGTGTCTTTAGATTTCACACCTCTAAATTTTAAAATTAAAAATTTAAAAAAAATTTGATAAATATATTTAATTGAGTCAACGTGAGTGAGATTTTAAATAGATGTCAAATGATAATTTGATTGCCGGTATTCTAAGTCATCTAGGTTGGATGCAGAAGTAATATAGGTGTAAAGTAACTAACTAAAGTTCTAACATGATAAATAACTAATTCAGTCAAATATCATATTGTTGTGCACGCATAGATTTTTTTTATTAAAATAAAACAGGTAAAAATTAATTATTTATACTATTATTAATTTTTATTAAAATTATGTTGTAGCAAGAATCGCAGCTTTAAAATATGTGCAAAAACTTGGATATACGTACAAGGATACCTTTTTTTAAGATTTATAATTACGCATTTACCTTAAATTATTATAAAGAACATATCTCAATAAAATTAAATATTAAATATTGTTATTTTTTATATCCAAATTTACATACAGTGAAATAAGCTCTTGATTATTTTGAACTTTGAAATCCGCAGCACACTAAAGGCCTGACATAAAGCCACTTTCTAAACCCCCTAGGAACTTTTGTCAGTCTTATTACGTTATTAATCATAATTTACTCAGAAACACGAGGCATAACTTTGCGAGTTTTAGGGATCATAAACCAAAAACACGTTGGCTTATGTCGAGGGACTAGGGTCGGCCTAACCTCATTCTGGGCAGGGGTTTATTTTATGTCATGCTGCTTTTATAAGATATTGGAAAAATGTATATGGAGTAAATTAAAAAAAAAAGAAAACATTAATACAAATTTAAATCAATGGATAGAATTGAAAATTAAATTTTTTTTTGTATAAACTTATCATCGATAAAAAAATTATAAGTTTGTGAAAAGAAAAAAAATTAACAAAATAGGAAGTTATGTTTCAATCAATTCTAAAATTTGAATTTTAAAGAGGCAATCATTAAAGAAACCAAGCCAAATTATGCGATAAAAATAAATAGAAAAAACTCACGTGTGCCAGATTGGACTGTTTTCCAGAGTCTTTGAGTGTGGGCAGGTGCGAGGAGAACTGCGACACAAGCACCGACCTGCTTCTGGTGACCGACCTGGCCAGTTTGGCGAATTTGCTCAGTCCCATGGCTGAAACAACTCAAGTAAGTTTAGCAAAGGTGCGGTTAGCAATGGCGAGAGTTCAAAGGGACCTCCTTTGTTGTCGTCCTGCTCGATGGGCTGCTTGAGCGCCGTGATGTCCCTGAAGGTGAGCAGGAACAAAACCACCAGGTCGCGCTCGTTCTTGATCGGCGCGATCTGCAGGAGCAGCCATAGTGGAGTTTCTGCAATCACACGAAACGTTGCCACCGTGGGAAGCACCAAGCGGCGCCATTTCAAGGTGCCCTCTCAGCCGGCACCCTTGAAATTTGCACCTGGGAGATTGTGTGTGTGTGTGTTTTGAAGGGGTCATTCCGCGCTATCATTCGAGACAAAATGCATTTTTATTTCGTCAAATTAACACTCTTCGACTGCGGTAAAATTAATTAATCTTTTTTGTTTAACTAATTTATATCGTTATTAATTATTAAATTTATGGAAATAGTTAAGTTTTTTTATTGCACTGTTTGAAACATAAGGGTTTAATTTTAAAGAGCCTCTCCAGTTATGAATTTTATTCTTGTATTTGAACGTCGATTCATTTTTATGATCGAAATAGAGATCGGAATGGCACTTTTCAGGGTTGAATAGTAAAGATAGTAAAATTAAGTTTAATTTCAAAACGGACATCCCTGAACGTTCAAATTTCGTTTGTGGAAAAATTAAAAACTTCACACTTGATTTCTAATTCAAACACAAAACGAAATTGTGCGTTTTCCCCCTTTAATTATGAAAATAAACATAACTGAAAAGGAGCTTTAAACATTAACAAAATGATATTTAAAAAGCATTTGTCTTTCTAATTATATCCAAGCAATTATTTTATTTACTATTTAGTTAATATTTCAGTTTAAATCAAATTTAGATCACCGAAAACCGCAACGGACTTGTCCAAGAGCATTAATTTTTTAACGGGTCGTCTAATTGAAAAGCTCGGCGTTTTAGCTTTTAGCCAATTTCGCCCCGCTGGCCTAAATTGACAAACAAACTTTGAAGGTGGAAACAAGTTTGCTCTATTTATTATGCACCTCCTCATTTAAATTTTATCACTTTAATTAGCGTCACGAATTACATTTGCCGCTGCGACACATTTTGTCTCTGGATGTTTTCACCGAGTAGCACCGCAATATATTTCGTTTGAATTATTCAGCAGTTTTTTTATATTTTTATGACGAATCTGTGCAAAATTTAATTTTTTACGTATACCCGTGATGCATTTAAATCGGTACCATATTTTTGGCACACGCGGGTGAATAATTTTCGTTTTTATTTTAATATCAAATTTTGCGTTCCGAGTGGAGTAGGTTAGAGCCAGGAAATCAGTAGATATGAAAATAAAAACTCGCAAACTGACACCGTGTGTGTGAAAGTTTCACCTGTTTGTGATGAATCACATTGTACGTTTGCAAAGCGCGCCCTAATAAAAGAGGGAGTCCATTAATTCTCCAGTTGCGTTCATCAAATGAATGATGGCCTCAAAATTTACGAGCTTTTGTCCGCTAAAAACGGGTGGCGTTATTAAGGAAGTCCCACCCTGCATTTCGGAAATCTGGCTGTAACCTACAAAAATGTCAAAGGGGAAGTACAGACGTTGAAGAGGATGAAATATATACAAATCCAGCAGTATAAAATACAGACACTCAAATGCATTGGATTCAAACGTTAACGTCGAGCAAGGGATACAAAACACTGAAATACCGCTGCACGTCTATTTAGTGTTTCCATTTACCATGTGTTATTTTTTGAAAAGCAACACAGAACATCAATATATATGAAGTACACATTTTGCAGCCAATTTAGTCTCACTGTGAAAGCTTACCACACACGCATTTGAAAGAACACGTCCATAAATTAAACACACAAACAACAAATAAATTGATATTATATACACGGCTCATGTGAGTTAACATTGAAATGCACAATTGCCTAAAAGAGGTAATCGACGCTTAAATATTGAAAATGACAGCAATCACGGCTTAAAGTGGATCTTAATTATTAATTAAATAAATTAAATACATTTTCATTAACAAATTATATATTAAAAAAACACAAGAAAAAAAGTAGCCAGTTATAATATTATGGGTTATTATTAAACAATAACTTTTATAAATATTTTTATCTATTATAAAATTTATTTTAAATTTAGTAATAAAATTTGAATTTATTCATAGTAATGTATTTTAAAATAAAAATAATGCAATTTAAATTTTTAATTGTAACAAATAGCTAACTAATAAAATTAGTTTATAATTTTGTCTGGTATCTTTTTATTCAAAATTCACTTTTTTCAAAGAATACTTCTTCTTCATTGGTTGATTAAAGAATCAAGTTATTAAATTTGCTAGAACGCTAGAACTTGATCCATTACTGCAAATATTTGCGAATGAATATCATTTATTAATCATTAAATACACTAGAAAATGATCCACAATATTAATTATCTACTTCTAAAGTCTCTAAAGTAATTATTGACATTTGTGCATTTGGATGACAGAAGAGGTGCAACAATTAATGACTATTTTATACAATGGAACAACCAGTGCATATTTTCCTCGCATTAGTTAATCAGCTTTTATAGTACGTCGTAGCTTTAGCGTTTTTCATTTTACTAAACTTCATGAGTATTGTGCTGTGTGATTTCTTCGTGCAGCAAATTCTCAAACGCCGGCGATAATGATCTTGGCCTGCATGTGGGGGCTGATTACCGGTTGGCGTGTGCTTGACATTCTAACCTACATTTGCGCTCGAAAACACACTCATTTTTCGCATACAAAACGCTACTCGCCTGAGGAGATTTAAGGTGGTTGTACGCGAAAGATTAGTGGAGAATGGGGTTGAAGTTTGTATGTGTGTCGCTTTAATCGCCGGCGGAGCGATAAAATAAATTGCAAATTGAAATTCGTGCGTGTCCAAAGCACTTCCTGGTCGACACTGATTCGGATGGACTTTTATTGGAAATGAAATGTGCCATCAGATTGAATTCAATGGTGGAAAAAAACACTCTCCGGAGAGAGATAAATCACGGAGATTTTTTTTCTGAATTAATATCTGCGCAAAATTTCCGCCCGAGCTTCAACCGCAGTTAAATTGAAACGGTGAGAGAAGAAAATAGGATAGGGCACGTTTCTCATCAGAAAATCAATTGAGGCAGGCAGACCTGCTCTCTATCTGATGTTGTGACGGCGTCGAAATGAAAATTTAATAATTAATCTTTGGGAATAATTTTGATAACACTCAAAACTTCCGAAGATGAGACGCCCCCGTGCTAATTATGCACATCCTTCGAGAGTGGCGCGGCGAGCACAAACAAACTTTTAATTGGGTGGGACTGAGAATTGTGTTCGCGGGTCGGCACCGCTATTTGCCTTGGCTGCGATTTAATTAAAAACATTCAATTCACTGCCGGGCTCTTGTTTGTTTAGCTGAGCTCGTACATACTCGTATTTGCTCGCTGCACAACGCGGTGAGAGTTGGAAAGTGCAAAATTTCCGCCTTTTTTGGCACCGTAAAAATGCAGGTTTTTTGCTTTAAATTAATTTGCTTTGTTTATATAATTTCATAAGCTGAAAGCTGCTTTTTGTTATTTGTTTGACGAATGCTTTTTTCAGCAAATATAGACTTAAAAATTAAAAATTTCTTTCATTATTTTGATATTACATTTATTTCAAATTAAATGTTTTAAAAATTTAATACAATTCACAAGAAACAGGAGCAAACAAATTTCGAACTTGTTTGTATTCGTCGATATGGAAGATTGAAATCTCGTCAAAAGAAACTGAATGGTAAATTTATAGTCAAAGTAATAATAAAAGAATTGATTTGAACTTTTGAGTTTTGTCTAGTGTGAATTTTTTTGCAGTTTTTCTAACAAAAATTATTAAAAGTTTTTTAAATGAATCATATTCCAAATTTGAACTGTATTACCGTTGAGATAAAAGTTTTCAACTCAGATCTACCAGTAATTTGTTTCAATCTTCTTGAACATTATCATGTAAAATTTCCATCTATATATCGCGCCCATATTTTAACACTTATTTTTAATCTTTTTGCAATCAAAATTTATCGTTATTGTCTTGCATATTTGGTCCCGTTCCAAACAATTTCATGCAGGAAAATTAGAAAGAATGAGGCAATTTCACCCGCACAAGATCGAAAAGAGAAATATGAAAATTCACCACTGTAAAGACAAATGACGGCAATTTGTCCGACAGGCTTTGCGCCTCTTCAGTTTCGGAAGGAAAACAGACTCGTTGCGTCTCTCATCTCGGGCGAAATTGCGCGCGACCCGAATGATAAAGACAAACAAATTAAAGCGTCGCTCGTGCCGACGGCGCTGCGCTGAATTCAGAATTAAAGTCCGACTTGATTACTGCACGCGGCGTGGCCAAGTTCAATAAAATGCAGGCCACGGGCAAATTGCGGCTCGGAGGTGCCACACCGCAATCTGGGCCACACCACTCGTATGGGGGTCACCGCAAACACCTGGACACGCAAACAGATCGCCCACATTCTAAAGGCTTTGCCACTGCGTCTCGCGGCGTTTGAGAATTTGTTTCGCCCCGCCGAGGAAAATAAAAAATAACGGCCGCTCTCAAGAGAGAGGTGGAAATTGAATGACTCGGCCCATTTTTCAGTCACCTGCTGCAGCAAATCGCGCTCCATTTGTCTACTTTCGCCGGGGCGAGAAACGCAGTGCGCCTAAATTTACTGCAATACATTCCGGCGCGGTGGATATGGCGAGTGTGAAATATCGGCGGTGCTTAGTGCAGCTTTCACTCGGATCCGTGGCTTGGTGAACTATTTCCAAAGATTTTCTGGATATTTTCAAAGAAATTACAGAAATTTCCGTGCTATTTTTTATAAGACGGTATCAATTTGAAGCAAATGATTTATCAAACTTGAAAATTACAAATTAAGATTTATTTACATAATTTATTGTAAAATTATTAAAATTGATTTTATTTTGTCTTGTAATTCGTTTTTTCCATAAGTGATTAGTTTTTCTTCCTCTTAAAAATTGTTTGATTAAACATTGAGCAACTATTTTACTAAAAAAATGCAAAAGTTGTTTGAACAGATAAATTCTTATCTTTCATCTTACTTAGAAATTTAGGTCAAATTCAGGTCACCATTTAAAATTTTCCAAGCGAATTTCCCCCTTTCTAAAAGCCACATGAATATGCATAAAAATAAACCTCATTTTTCAAATGAGACGATTCAATTAACTTCACACCTCTACGGCTTATTTTTTAATAAATTCACCTTTGCGTGTCGCGTCATCGTAAAATTGAGGCTTCTAAGTAAGGAAAAACCAGCGGGACACGCACACCGCTGAAAAGCAATTTAGTAACCAGATCTGGCGAGAAAATGCCCCCATTAAATTTCATTTCCGTCAAATTTGCTGGACGGGGACGATAATTCACCAATCACGGTCAAGTGTGTTGCGAACGCTGCCCACACACCAACCCCGCATTTGTCCCACAAGCATCGTGCGGTGTTTGCCCGCTTGTTTGTCATAATATACGCATTATACAGACGTGTACGAGACACATGTAAAGGGTTGTTGAACAACAAACAGTTGCACTACAGTACACTAGGGCTAATACAGGCTGCTATAAATTAAATGTCCCTACAGCGCACTAACACCACCTATGACTGGAGCTGCACTCTAGGAAGCTCTAAATCGTCAAACGCCGCGTGGAGTGTTAATAATTCATATTTATATGAGTGATGGATTGTCGATATATGAGAGAAAGTGAAGAAAGAGAAAATAGAGTGTGTTGAAGAGGAGTTTGTTTTACATACACTGCACGCAGGGGAGGAGCAAAGAGGGGAAAAGAAGAAGTCACGCGGTGAATATATCAGAAAAATTTCAAACTCAGATAATAGAGGAAAAAATGCATCTCAAAATTGCGTATAGAAAATAGTCCGTTGAATACCAATCTGAATTCGGGAGAATTTTGGTTTTTGGTCTCGGAACGTTTTGCGGTGCCAAGGAGGAGCGTGTTTGTGTAATCTCACCTATAGGGCGTTTTTTCCACATACCTCGCGGGGTGCCTGTGAATCAGAGAACACTTGCTAGAGGAGGGGCAAACACACACAAACAAAACACAAATAGAGAAGAACAAGAGAAAATTCATACTAAATATATGAATGATTTCATTTATAAATAATAATAATAATAAAAAAATGCCAATTTTGGTGATTTCATAATTTTGTCTAAGTGGCTGGCATTCCTTTTGTGCTTCTTTCTCGTTAATTTGTATATAATATTTACATTTTCATTTGGTTTTGTGCTCGTTGTTGAGGTTTGAGAGAGAATTAAAATATTGAAAGTGCCGTAATTGAGCAGAGCGGCTTTCATGCATGCGGTTTTTGTGTGAGAGTATAAAAAAGTTGGTGGTGCGCGCGCGATTCGTCTGCCTTTTCAAAAAACCGAGAGCGTTGAAAATAAAATATAAAATGCCTGCGCGCGGATTAAAAAATTCATCTCATCAGCCGGAGTGGCAAAGACGCGAATAAATTTCGTTTGCATTGATCGCCACAATGCGAGCCCGTTCGAGCGAAAGGTAATCAAATGATTCTACTCGGCGAACATGGTGAATAGGTTTTACATGCATAGAGGATGACGAAACTTTTCCCCTGGTTCTTATTATTTTCTTTTATAATAAAAAATTCCACACACTAGCAGTTAAGATTTAATGATGTGTTTCCTTTGCTGAATGCTTGCGGTAGCAAGAGGAAAACAAACATAAAGGGAGTTTTAAACTGATAATAAAAAGTCACGGTGGATAACAGGAGTGTGTGCCGGTCTGGAATGCCGTTCTTAAAAAAGAGCCCCCTGCTTTGAAGCAATATTCAGCAGTAAAATGCGGTGCCATTAATGACGAGAAAAGAGGAAAGGTACCAAGGGTGAGCAACGGCTTTATCCAGCAAAAAATTGATGGGGTGCGGTTTTAAACATTTTTTTTTTAGACGGAAACGTCGCATGGAAGTCAATAAAACCCTTTACGAGGAACTAAAATTGGATCGATTAAAATTATGGACATTTAATCATTAAAGTATAAATAGTGCGGAGATATTTTAAAATATTCAGACTGCGGTAAAACATTATTCAACAATTTATCAAAATCAACTGTAAATGTGATTTTACATCAGCAAATGCTTAGAAAAGTAAATGGTGGAAATCAACTTATGATTTAATTGTGAATTATGAAATTGTTGTTCTATTTTTATTATACATAATAAATAATTAAAAAAATTTATTGAAAAACTATGTTTTAATTTCATTACTTTTAAAAATAAAATGATAAATTACATTAAAAATATGTTTATAAAATTAAACAAATTTCATTATGAAATTTTTTGTTTAAAACAAAAATTATTAGATAAAAAAGTTGAGTGTAAAATAAGCTGGCAACACTTATCAGATATTCCTCCCTTTTATTTTCACGAGAGCAACATCAAAAGAGGCAAAAGGTACGCGGGCCGATATAAAAACGACTTCAAAGGGAACAACGAAATTTGGTATAAATTTCGCCGCGAAATGCACTCCCTAGAGAGTGAGTTACACTTTTGAAAAGGCAGCAGCAGACGAATCGCGCGCCTGCGAATAAAAAAATCCGATATACATATCGCATCTTGGGATCAATAACTGAGAAAGAGAATAAAAAAAAAAAAAAAATACAACAGAGAAAGAGAGCATAGAGAAAAGGACTGTTGTTCGGAAAGAGAGAAAGAGGGATGGAAAAGTCGAGGCATGCTGGTTGGTTTCTGATGGTCCGCTAGGCCAGTTTTGTGGGCCACGCCATTCGCATATTTTTGGGTCCATCAGAGAGTCTCAATCGGTGGTGGTTGGAGATGATGCCATAGAGTCATCCTTTAGGCCGTGGGATTCTGTCGCAAGTTCTCTCCGCCGCTTCCAAGACCCTCAGGGCCTTCGTACAAAACACAAACACAAAATACGCTGCTTTCGTGCAAAAGCACCTGCCCGGCGAACGCCCCCGGAGAATTTGGCTCCGGCCACTTCCAAAATGTCACGCGTTAAAATGCTCGGCTGCTTTTCCACCATGCGGAAAGTTTTCCGGCTTTCAAGGGATTTTTTTTACTATCTTGCTTGAAAAGGAAAAAAAAATACATATAAAAATATAAACACGGGCATAAACTAAGTGGGTGCAAGCTTGGCTGGGAGTTTTAACGCGCTTTTAACGTTGTGTGTTATTTAATTAAATGCACAAATGTGGCTGGGGACCCTTCTCGGCGACAACAAAATAAGTCCATTTGCGTAATTTAATTTTACAACAGCCTCATTATGGTTGGCTCGGAGCCACGATTCCGGCGAGATGCCGATCCATTGTTATCGAGAACTTTATTAAAGGAAATGGCCGCCATAAAGAGAGACGATATTCAAAGCATTTATCACGGAAAATGGCTCAGTAATTTCAAGAACGTTCTTAGATAAAAATTTTATCTTAGTAGGCAGTCTAAATAATTTTTAAAGAATTTTGTACAATTGATATTAGAAATGAGTTCACTCAATTAAATAAATCTTTTCTTCGTCAATCTATAAAAGATAAAGAATTTATAAGGAATTTAATTAATTTTTTGAGCTGCGAACTCCTTTAGAATTGTCAGTTTTATTTTATATAAAAATATATTTTTATTTTATAGAAATTCCCATTATATACAAATCAGTTTTACTTTTGGGCAAATGGTTTTGCTCAGGATAAAAAAGTTACAGATCACAAAAGCCACGCACAGAGATCAAATTGAAAAGAGCCGGTCAACTTTTCCGCGTCTCGTTTATGTTTAAATTGGGAAGCAAAAATGGAGGCTAGGAAAACACTGGGCCATTTTTTCCTTCTTTCTCTTTTGGCACGGTTGAGTTGCGCCGAAAATCCCCAAACGCCGCAAGTGCGTCGGGTCTGTGTGTGTGTGTGTGTGTGTGTGTGTGTGTGTGTGTGTGTGTGTGTTTTTTCCTGCAAAGTCAACGGGAAAAAAAGTATAATGTGTTACAAAAAACGCGACGGCGGCGTCCGCAGGCAAAAAGAATATTTGATATTTCTTAATGGAGGCACAGTAGCTATTTTAGTCTGCGGATATATATTTGAAATAAAAAGCAGGTGTATGAAAGAGAGATGCTTCTTACTTATGCCTCTGTTTTTTGCTCACACTTTGCCCGGCGGCGCAACTTTTCATCTGGTTAATAACAAGCCGAAAACTTGCCGGCCGAGGTGGAAAATGAATGTTATGCCGACTAACGAGCGAGCGGAATTAAGCAACACGGAAAACGAGGCCAAGCCGTCTGGACGGTCGATCCGGCTTGGCCGGCCGGCTAATTTGCACGACCAACCGGTTTGTGAATGACATCACTTGGCCGTGACGTCACTGCAGTTGTAACTCGCTAATTAGATCTACCCTTCTGCTCCCACTCGCGCATTTTAAATAAGAATTCGCTTCGCATTTTAGCATATTGCAGGAAGTTTGACAGAGAAAAATAAAAAAAAAAACTTCTAACAATTAGTTGAATAAAATTTTAAATTCAGATTTTCTTTTCAATTCGGAACAAACTTTAAAATAATTGAATTGATAAAGTAATAAAAACATGAATTAAAAAAAAAGAATCTAATCTTTGCAGGCTGTTTTCTTGACAGCCTTTTAATAAAGCTCCGGATTTCCACGATTTTTCATAAAAGCCTGATTCTAATTGATTGAAATACTTAAAATAAACTAATCCCTCAATAATTATATCAGAGGTTGTGAATTAATTTGAAGAAAATCTGAAAAATTTATCACCATGAAACTTGACCTTAAATGAGGGTGTCTCTGGTTTTTCATTACAGACATCAGTTTTGTAGAATTTGGACTGGATCCGGGAGCAAAAAGTTCCCGAAAGTTCGGTCTCCATTAATCCAACATCCCCATTGTGCACAAGTGCGATCAGTCACTTCGCCCCAACTTCCTGCGGGAGGGCGCCCCTGCTTTTTCTTCTTTTCGGTCGAGTGTAGGTATATATAGAGTGTAAGTCTGTATGCGTGTGTTTTGTGTGATCCGGTAGGAGGGAAAAGTTTTCAGCGTTGATGAGAGAAAAGGAGTGTTTTATGGCTGCGCTCGAGAAAACCGATTAACAAAATTAGAACGGCGAGGACAAAAATGAGCGCCGCCGGGACAAAAAAAGAAAGAATACATCCTCTAGCTGGCCTCTCCGGGGGTTATTTATATCGTTGGCTCGCTCCGACTAAAACATGATAGGCAACGCGGTGAGCACAAATAGCCAACTGGTTGCATAAAACTCGCTGCTCTCTCTCACTCGGAGACTGCACTAGCCTGGGGGATGCGAGGGAGAGAGAGAGAACCTTTATGGGGCAAAAAGTCTGTCACTCGTGGTAAGTTATGTGGTGCCGCCGTTTCCCGAAAATCTAGCCAAGTTTGGAAATGGGAGGAGAAACCTTTTTAGGTTCTGGAATAATCTTAGTTTTCTGATCAAAATATTTCTGGAATCAGACATATTTCAGAGAAAGGTGATGCCAAAAAAAAAAAAAAAAAAAAAAAAAATGTGTTAAAAGCGCACAAAATTAAAGCTGTGGATTGATTTTTATTTTAACTTTTATGTTTGGATAACTGAAAGAAGAACCCGTGGGGCGAATCTTGATTAATGATGAAAAGGGCTTCTCTTCGTTGAAGAACTTTTTATTTAAAAAAACCTTTAAAAGTATTGACTTTTAACATTTTCATCGGGATAAAAATGGAAGCAAATTTTTCATTTAATAAAAACACAACGAGGAAAAGCCTGTTCAACATTTATCACAATTAAAATATTCTACATTTTCTTTATAATTATTTAAACAGGAAATTCTCTTTTAATCTTCAATTTTTTTTAAAATTATAATTAGAGAAAAAAAAATAAAAAAATTTGCAAATTTTGGGAAAACTCGGGTGTATAACTCGATCAAACCAACAATGTGTATAGAAATGTGGAGAGTGAATTAGGAGGGTGTTTGTGCGTATAAATGTGTGTGTTGCGAAGTTGTGCTATCACTTTATGGAGTAATCCATCACCAGAGGGAGCGACTGCTGCGCCGCCGTACACATTCAGTAGCATATTGTTCGAGTCGCCCCAGAAAGAGCTCGCGCGAGATAACATATATTGACTGAAAATGAAAATATACAGCAGCCTATATGAAACGTGCAGCTGCCAACCCAACCAACCGTCCTTTATTCCCTGGATTTATTTTTTTATTAAATGCTTTTTTATTTAACTCGAAGCGTGAGAGAACATTCACATCCATAGATATGTACACAACGATGACGGAAGACGACGACGCATTTATTAATATATACGGGGGTGGTTTTGGATAGCAGGGTGGAGACAGAGAGAACACGCATTCAACAGCTAGACGGAGGAGGTAGAGAGAGACAGATAGAGATAGAGAGAAAGAATGGGCGGGGGATGATTTTGATAAACAGGTGAAAACATTAATTTAGTTTGAAGTAGGGGACAAATAATATATACATTAGTCCAGGGAAAGTGGGAGAGTTCGGGGTTGAGAAAGATTAAAGGGGAATGCGTAGTGTCATGCAGCACCATTACACTTTTCGTCCATGTAGCTGCATGCCGGTCTGCGGGACCAGGTGTTATTTTACAAAGGGGTACACTACAGCATATTATCCAGGATTTGACCACTCTTGGATCAAATCCTGAATTTTAATCCGATTTGAACTAATTTTGAACAATTAAGCTCAAATTGGAGAAAGGAGGAAGAATTTTGTTGATAGAAATGGATGAAACCAATATGGAAATTTTGAGCACGTCGACTTTTGTTGTTTTTTTTTATGATGGACGAAATTTGTTAAAATAGAGCGATTAATTTAAAGACCAATGTAATCTGGTTTAATTTTCACTACTCACTATTTAAATTATAAAAGCTTTATAAACTGATATAAGTGGTGCTGTTGCATAATATTTTGATTAAGTGAAAATTGGAGAGCAGCTTTTCGCGTGTTCGCCAACATGCTAGGCGAGTGAGTGAATTAATTAGCAACTTTTTAAATATTTACATAAATTTTTATTGGATTTTTTTTTTCTATTTAATTTGCTGCCTTTGATTTTGAGGCCAAAGTACATTGGTGTGGAAATAGATTCAACTGTTCGCTCTGACAGGTCGATCAACGACTGAATAATAAATAGGGGTTGGTGCACAAAGTAGCCTGTGGAGTGGGACATGCCATTGGCAGGCGGATTGATCTTTAATTCGTAACGACGGACAAACGAGACTACGCCGACTTACTGTTTTTCTTGTACAGCAGGATTTCGAATTGGTCGCTCAGCTGCTTGTCCAGGCACTCGTCCACCCTGGCGATCGTTTCTTTGTCGGTCAGTTCGCCGTACATGAAACCGCACCGGCATGATTTCTGCATGACCTAAATTCGCACGGTTTTTGATTTTCAAATTATACATATGTGTCAAAAATGCAATTTGGGAAAACAAGAATAAAAATATGTATCAACTCCTACCTCTGCGCGGTTGTATCCAGAGATCTTGCAGAAAGACTCGTTACAGTAGACAATCGGGTAGTCAACTATCTGTGCATTGGCGAGCAGAAAGCTGCTGTCCGCTGCAAAAGAAAAAAAAAATAGTTTGAAGAATAAAAATTTCAAAATGAATGATTAAAAATTTAAGTCCTTATTCCTTTAGAGGAAAGTTGTTAAATCAAGTGATTATGAAGAAAAAGTCTGCTATATTTGAAACGTAGCAATTATTTTTCGCAATTCATATCAACAAAATATTCAGCAACCGCGTTCTGAAATAAATTATGTTAAGATCCGGATTCAAATTGTTGAATTTATTTTTGTTGGAATTGCGTATGTATTCTTCTTCAAGTAATAAAACTTTTCAAAATGTTTCTTATTTATTGGTTGTTAATCAAGAAAACCACATAAGTAAATTCATATCTAAAGGAATGGCAACCCGCTCCACCAATTGTAATTTATACCGTTTTAATTTACTGAAAGGAGTGAAAGATTAATCAGGAACAATATTTATAAATTTTAATATAAATGAGTACTTATGCAAACAATAACAAGTTTTGATAATTAAGGATAATATACTTAAAATCTTGAAATACTGCAATTAGCTTATTTTAAATAATCAATATATTCTTAAAATAATCTTTAGTAAAAAATAGCATTTTATTTTTATATAAATATAAGGGGCATAAAAATTAAAAATTTTTTAAAATTAGTTATTTCTTTAATTTAATTTTAATTAATTGTTAAACAATACTTTCTTATTGGAAGCAGTTTTTTTTTTCAAATTTTGTTTTACAATTAGAGTAAAGTACGTAAACAATTTGGATTTAATTTTTTGTTATATTTTTACTGACTATGCTTTCCCAGGAAGACAAGGAATTTGAAAAACAATAATAATAACCTCACATTCTAGGATCATAAGTTACATATAAAATTATTCCCGTTAAAAACTTCATTTTAAATTTAATATAGACTTGCAGAGATAAAGTTCGTCGCTTTTTTTGTTAACACCTGTGCCGTTAATTTAGTATGAAAGTGACGTTGGTATTGTGAGACGGATGAATTTCCACGCAAACGACGCAAGATGCAATCCATTAAAAACTGCTTCTTAGCGACAAACACGCGGCGGCTCTGAGAAAATGGAATTGCACTCTGGAGACCTGACGGCACGTGTATGCCTGCGTTTGGCAAATGTGCAGGTCGGATCGGCAGCAGCACGACGGATGTGTGTCGCTTTTACTGCTTTGCATGGGGGGCATCGTTAATGGAGTTATATGCGCCGACGGTGCAAACTCAAAAGTTGCGCGTCGTAAATTTCGCGCAGCTGCCGGATTAAAAATTGAAAATCTAATTTCAAGCGACAACTCGTTTTTCGCCGGAAAGAGAATCAGGGAGACAGACGATGCTTTTCAAAACGACGGAGCGCAGTTGGTTCGGAATTTGTTATTTTCATTCGGAATGGCAGTAAATTACATCTCGGGAAGCTGCTTATTTACGTAAAAGGTCCTTCACGAGCAAAACTTTTTATTCTCATTTAAAAAATTTCAAATGTGAAATCGAAATGACTTGGCGCAAGTTTCAGTTATTAAATTTAATAAAAATAAGAACTTCTTATAGAACAAGAGATCGACTCTGAGAGTTCAATTATTTTTGGCGGGGCCTTTTCAACCCTAACGAGTACGATTTTTTTGTTCATTCATGTAACTCGATTTCTGAAGTTATTTTTTTCTTCTGAAATCCAGAATTCAAATCGCTTCTGTAAATTACCTTTAAAAAGCCGATTGGCCCACATAAATTGCAGGATGACTTTTTATGTTCAAAGGGTCAGAGGGGAAGCGAAATCGGGCCATTAAAAGTTTGCCGGGAACGAAGATTCGCCCTGTTTATAATGATGACTAACGAGCGTAGATTACAAAAGAGGGGCGGCTTTGTTTCGTGCCCGGATTTGAGCCTAATTTATATTTATCCACTTTCAAACTGCAACGTCAAACTTTTATCCGGGCATATCGCGCGCCGTCGAGGGTTTGAATTAATCGATACTTTTTGATTAATTGCACCGAGCCGCGGGCGCAATTCGTGCTGCACCTGCTGGGTCACATGGCGCGCAGGTGAGAGAGACCAACTTGATGCGGCACTGCGCTTCTTTGTCACCTACTCATTTGCATAGCAACTTGGTTTTGCGATTCAATCAAGTCTTTGAATAAAAAATATCACGCTGCTTTAGTTGTTTCCCTCCTGATTTCTAGAGAAGCAAAGATTTTTACAAATTTATCTATATTTATTTTTAATCTTCTTTAAACAAAAGAATTTTTAAATGAAAAAATGTTGAAATTATAAATAATTTTAAAATCATTTCTTGGAATTGATTAATAAGCATTTATTATATGTATAATTTTAATGCATTATGATAAGGATTTGCACCTTTTTGAAAATTTAAGGGTTCTCAAGAGAGCTCTTGTCAGTTAATTAACAAAAACTTTTTAATTTGATGTTAACAATAAGGACAAATAAACAACAATAAATGTTGATTTCAATATTAATTATTATTATCATCTTTTGTATAAATTAATTTGTTCTAAAAAATGTTATTTTGAGGGTGCATTATAAATTATCTGATAATTTCCACGAAGTGATCGTCTCGTTTGCGCAGTAATGATGTATCGCCGGCAGATATGGGCTGCGACGAGTACTCGGTCCGCATCCTCCTCTCGGTCCGGGACTCACTTGCTCGCATGCGTCATTGTGCAGCTCGCGTCCATTAGGTCTTGCTGGGCCCGGCCGGCCGACGCTTTATGGACGCAGCGCAACTTTTAATAGGAATTAATGCAAAAGTTGTTTATATTCGTTGAGTGCAATGGTGCCGTAACAATGATTACGCAACGACTGCCTGCGGCGCGAGGGAGGGACTCTCGTTTCTAGAACACGAATATCGGTTCCACTCAGCCGGAAAGTTGCTTTCAATTTGGGACTAAAGGCAATGTACAGGAGCGTGGGTGTTGGAAATCAGATCAACGGGCGCATTAACGGCTTTATTCAATTTTGGGGCCGAGAGACTTTGAAAGGACGCAGCGAGTGTAGAAAAATTGTTAAAAGCAAACATGCTAGAAATTATGTTTTTATTTAAATTGGGTTCCTTGATGTCATATTTATTTTTAAATTGGTAAAAATTTGAACATTGTTTATTATAAATTTAATGTATTTAGGAAAATTTTAGTTTATCTTCTTTTGGAGTAAATATCGTTCATCGTCAATATGGGACTTTGAGGAATTTTAACAGATAAAAAAAGACAAGAGATTTGGCTAAAGAACTGAAGCGTTTGACGAAATAAGTATTTTCTCTACAAAAGATACATAATTCAGCAAGGTTTACATTTGATGTACGTATCTAATTAAATAAAATATGCATTAAGTTAATGGAACCATTTTACTTATTAAAGAAGCTTAGCCAAGTAAACCCTCCTTTTCATAGACTCGGACGCTATGGAAAAACGAAGAAGTATTACCGAGAATTCATTTAGCTTCAACGACAAACTAATCTCTTAAAGGGACAAAAGACAAAAAGCTTACAGTTTCAATTCCACGAATTGGCGGCTTAAAAGGTCAAAGGAGAGGCCACGTCTGGAGCATTAAGAATGCAGCCGGGTCCATCAACGGGCATCAAGCGAAATCTCTTTCTCTCTCAAAGTGAAATAGCATTAGCTCTCGCTGCTCAAGAGAGCAAAAAGCTCGCGCCAGTCGTATTGATTTCCATAAAAAGGCTCCGAGCGACATAATGGCACGTGAAAAATGGCTCGCTCGACCTAATAACAAAGTCGAGTTATTGCATAAATGCCGTAATGCATCTTTCCAGTGCACCGACTTTCAAACATCTTTGAACACGATGCTATAACATGGTATTAAAGTTGAGAGCCGAAATAAAACGAACGCCTTGTTTCAGCTTGGGCTACTTATCACGGCATTATTTATGGCTATTTGTGGGTCACGAGTCTCGCCATGAATGCAAATCAGCTCGGTTTGAATGTTTACTCGCAATCTTTTTCCGCAATTGATCATCAAGTAATTACAAAAAAATTGTAAGTAATAAAATATTGTTTTCAGTAGTGAATAATGATAAAGATTGAATCAACTTAAAAACAATTAATTTAATAATCACAAGTTAATTAAAAAATATAATCAGTAAAAATATATGTATTTTAGTTGCTGGAAAACATAAATATAGAATTTGTTACATAAACATACTGAGTTCAATCTGGTTTTCTAGTGCAAAAAAATCATATTTTAGCTAAAATTTGTGAACAATTGAGCAACATTTTTGCTAAAAAAAAAAAAAAAAAAAATACGAGCAGCCCCTATGGATGGTTTTTACACGAGTCGATGCGCTGATTATCATTACGGAATAACATAATATTATTTTTTTTTTCGAAACATCAAGGGCACTTTGTAATTCCGCTGGCTGCGAGTTTCACAGCTCCGAGAGTGCTGTGTGTGTATATGATAATTTTACAGCCGCAATATAAAAATGCGGCGGAGGCACAAAAATAAACACGGAGAGCGCGGTGAAAATTCATTGTGTTGAAATGAAAAGCCGGGCGAAAGCTGTTTTTAGCGAGGCTACAGACAGAAAGTTGGAAATGCGTGTTTTGCTGAGAGCGGTGCGTTTAGAGATCAAAAACTTTTCTAAAAATCACATTCGTGTTGTACAAAAAACGTAAGCCTCTGTAATTTTGAAAATGTTTCAGAAAGCTATAGAGCAGCTATAAATTTTTAACATAATGAGCAAGGATTAATTTTTGTTCAATAACATTTTCCGTGTTTTCTTTAAAAGCTTGGTTTTTTTATAGAATCTTGACTTAAAGTCCCATTCTTTTTGTATTATCTGATAAAAAAACAAATTGTTGCAGGAAAAATTCGAAAAAATGCTCAAAATTTACAGTTTTTAGGGGGCAATGAATTCCCTTTTTGGAAAGTCTATTCTAAGCTGGAGGGAGCAAGTTTATGTTATTGACTTCTTGCGAAATCCCGGCGGTTGTCTTCCGTAGGCCCCCGTGAGTTTTATGGGGGCCGACTGCTGTTAGCTTTCTGGCGT